CCCAGAAATGCCCTAAAAGAGCTACCACCTACCAGAAAATGAACTAAATTTGCACATGGTTTCCTATGTTTAACGATTTTTTTTTAATTTTTTTTTTTCAAATGTGATTTCGCGAAGTTGTTTTTTTTAAACGCGTAATTTTAATTCAAATTTGGTAACCACAATACGTATAACCATACAAACATTTCGTTCTATAAATCTTAGAATTGAATTTAAACTGATATTAATTTAATTAAACATTTTCCTACCAGAGAGTTTCAGTCGCCCAAGAAAAATTTCATTTATTTGGTGGTATGTCTAGACCTTTACGAGAATTTTTATTTTTTGTGAGGATCATGTTTAATTAATCTGACGGCGCCATAAAGTTGACTGACCGACTGTGCAGTCTCAACTTCAGTGGCGTTTGATGTAGTTCAGGGTTTATCTGATCAAGATCATCACGAAAATTGTGATGTTGAACAATCATTTTTAATTTTTAAAGCATTTTAACATCTAGGAGAACTCGTATAACTGAAGAAAACCTAGAAAAAGTAGTAACTGTTATTAAGAATTCCTGAAGTAGGCCGCGACCGCAGTAGCGCTGGCGATCGGACGGCAATGAGGATCATTTCCGCGATGCGGAAGTCTGGTGATAATTAATGAATTAGTATATTTATCCTTTTTACACATTTCAGTGATAGTAATAATATTATTAGTAGTAATAATAATAATGGTTATTTGATCATACACCAGTTCTGAACAAAAGGGTAAAAGAACATAATATAATACAAAAATAGAGCATCTATCTTAATTACGAAGTACTACTTCATATTGACTGTAGAACAGTTCACGTTTACCGATATTTTCAGTAACTCACCGACAGGGGACAGCGCCTCTCGGATCTTTAGTCTGGACTTTCATTAATTTATAAAATTGGCGCCCAGACACGCCCCAAATTATGAAATTATTCCAAAATTTTATAAATTCAACTTTCTTAAAAAATTCACAACTCGATTTGTAAAATATAATAAATTCAAAGAAACAGTTATTTTTTTTTAATTCGATTGTAGAACAAACTTTATGTGCTTGGCCGTAGAATATTTCTGGTTTTGCTGATATATTAATTAAATTAAATTAAATATGCAACTTTTTCCAAGTTCAAATATTTACAGTTGTTTTTTTTTTGAGTATAATAATTTCTAAATAATCTGACCCATCACTTGACATACAGTAATCAGTAATCTATAGGTACGTATCATAAAATAAACGGAAAATATATCAGACAAAATTTCTCAAATTGTTTTGTACCTGCACAAGTCTTTAGGAAGACGTAAGTAAATAAATGTTCTGCAAAATTTAAATTAAGTACTCCTATGAAACATCAAAGAATTTCCATTCTTTTTTATGAAACATCTCATTTGTATATCTGTTGACTCAACAAATAGCAGTAATGTACACTGGGAATTTTAAACTGATCTTATAAGCACAAATATTTGGACGCTGACTTAAATGCCATTTATTATTAAAAAGTTACGTATCCAAAAAACCTTAATTTCATTGTTTAACAGTTGTTTCAACAGAAATCGAGAACGATGCACTTTATTGTACACCATGTATACAAATATCTTATTCTTAATACCACTATTTTAGACAAATATTTACACAAGATGTCTCAAAAAGATTTTGTTAACTGATCCGATTCGTAAGTTAATCAAAAACATTTCGTCTAATTTTTTTTAAAGAAAACTTTCTGGTTCTATGAAATAACAGTTTAATAACGTTTCTGTACTAAATTCTACTTAGATTAAAATCCTTGCTCGCCCAAAATAATAAAAAAACATACAAATCCAAAACATATTAAATAGTTTATTAAAAAAAAATACTTTAAAAAATAATAAATTCTTCTTTGAACAAATTGAAAATCTATTTTACATTGTTACGAAATAAACCCGTACGACGGTACGACGCCTATGGGCCGTCGAAAGCTTTCTAGTATGCGTGGTAATGATGGGTGACTCATCGTCGGTGACGGCAGCCGGATGGCGTTCGCTAAAGGAAAGCCTGGAAGCGGAACTCGCGACGGGTATTCCAGAAAGACCTCGATCGGAGAAGATCTAGAAGGAAGTATGGGTTAATATATTATATGTTGAAAACCTATAAAAGAATTGTGGTTTACCTATCTACGATTCACCGTCTTCATCCTTGCGGCCGTAGTTGCAGCTCGCCCTCCTAGTTTAATACGTTGTCCAATATCTTGGGCATACAAATTTCTTGCATTTTTCACATCGATTGGAATAGTTGTTATCATTTCCACGACATTGAGGACAACGTCCTCGCTTTATCCCTTTATTTGCTTCATTGCTTGTTCCAAGCTTTGCTAAATTTATAACCATATTCTCAATAGCTGCCTTTGAATATCTTCTAAAATCTTCTTCTATGCAAAATGGCCACATTTGTTAGCTAGAGACCAAGTTCCTGTAGAAAGGATTTACTACCTGTTTGAGAATCGAACTATTCATCCAATCAGGATTTTTTAGTATCCACACTACAAAAACATTGTAACATGTCATTCACATCACTGTTGTTGTCATTATTAGTGTATTTCTAGTATTATCTTTAATAATCTACAAACTAAAATTTTGTCTTTTCTTCTGACATGCCCAATTTAATAACTTTTTCACTTTCTTTTTCTATTTTTTTTCATTTTCCCTATAAAGTGGGTTATCCCGTTGGGAAAGTTGCGTTTAATAATAATAATTAATATTATTATCTTTAGCATTATTTGGAACAAAAACTTCACTTTCCATAACCTCAAAAGGCACATTTTCGTCATTTTCATCCAGATTATCTTCTTCTTCAGATGTCACTGAATGCATCTTGTATTGGTAATTTTCATCATTGGAATCATTCATAAGGGTCTCAAAGAGTTTTTTCTTTTTTTTGATAAATGCCATCTTTTCCATAATAACACTAAAACTAAAGACACCACACCAAAGAATCCCAAAATCAGGCCATTGGTGACCCGTAACAAAAAATCCCAATATTTCACAATAAATACGTTTTTGCATTTTGAAATGAGGAACTTATGTAAAATATGAAAGTAGGAGAATTCACAGCTTTTATACAAATAAAATGAGTTCCATATTAAGAAAAAACTGACGTTTAAGTCCAACGTGACCCTATTTTGAGACGGGAAAGGCGGAAAGGTTAACATAAAGTAGTCCTTAATTACCTGAATAGTTCCTCAAGCGTATGCCGCAAACATAAAATTAGATACAGAATTTGAAATAACAAAATAAACTTCTGTAACATCACGGAAATATTCAAAGTCATTTTTCTATGACTTCAGTTTAAAAGATGAATTACCATTTTAACCATTAATTTAACGTCAAAACCACTCTGTGGAATAATAAAGCTAACTAAATAAAACATTTTTAATCAGTCGGCGATTACAGTGATTGAATAATTAATCATTATTTAATTTAGAATATTACACCAGTAATACGGAAAAAGAATATGAGATCAGTTTAAGCTGGAAAATTGGGAACAAAAAAGAACAAACCAGGAATACTTGAGCAAATTTTGTTCATTCTTAAAAAAAACAAAAACAAAATTCTTATCGGTGTTTCGCAACTGTCGCGGAGTTTGTGAGACTACAATGAATAATTTCATTTTTCTGTAAGTGAACTGTGAATTCTAATTTATGAGTTGGATTTCACGGAGCGAATCCAGTTAACAACTTCTCTTGAATTATTCCTACGTAACTGAAAACAAAGAGACGCTTATAAAGTAGAGATTATCATAAGTAAATTAAATTAATTGCGTTGTTCAAATCGTGTTGCTGCTATCACAAATAAAATTAGAAATAACTACACTGAAATTATTTAAACAGAACTTTCCGCGTCCCTGAAGCACGATCAAATCTGCATCTTCAAGAACTACTTACTCATTAACTTTACGTAAGAACGTACAAACTTATTTGAGCTCTATGAGCTGTTGCACCGTCATGTTTTAAATATCCATTCGAAAATTCTTCAGGATCAAGCTCGTCAATAAATCTGATGTTCCGATATCTCGCAGTTGTAACTGACTCCTCGAAGAAAATGGGTCCAAATAGTCGCGTATTCGAGAAATGGCACACCTAATCCGATTTTTATGCGTGTAATAGCGTGTTTTCAAAAAAATGTTTTCATCACATAACTAAGTGTTCCTAAATAATTAGCTTCAAAAACAGCAACAGGTAAATTTTCACAATAATTTCTGAAACCATGGACTTCATACACCCATTCACCATTCACTTACTTCTAGGAGATGGCATTCATAATTTGGTAACATAATACTTCTTCAGCTTATGCTCACAAAATAAAGAATAATTTCACTACTTTTGCCAAAATACTTTAATATTCGAGTCATATTTCAGAGGCAAGGAGAGTTCTATGTAAACAACTTAAATTTTTTTTAAACGTTTTCAAAATAAATCGTCGGATATAAAAGTTTTCGAATTTATTTAAGGCGACAAGTAACATAACTAATAGTTAATTTAAAACCCAACGGCTGCTATAAAAAATAAGTGTCATATTTGAATACGACAGACTTTACCTTACGACCCAGTAAATGTTCTATTTTTATGGTTGGCTTTTGCAGCTACGAATGTAGGACGACCTACATACATATGAGAAAAACAACTAAGATATCAAACAAACCTTCTAAACCTTGTCGACATAATTTACTAATTCTAAAATAACGTTCCACAAGATTTTATCCAGTGCTTTTTATTATCAATTAGAGCAAATAACCCTAATAACCTTAAACTAGAGAAATACGTTCGTTTTATGTTGACGAAAACCGCTTGAGCGCACAAATATTAATTTTACAGCTTCCACATCATAAAACTTGAAAATTTACCCTCCTGATAAAGCTCTTACATCTTCAAGTTTCTTTCAACGGATTTATACCAAGTTGGGAGTTCAATTAGGTTTTGCTTTCATTTCTTAAATTTAAAGTCGCTTCGTGCTTTTCAGAGGAAAAAGAGGACATGGAGCACTTGGAGGCGTACAACCGTAAATTGCTAGCTAATATCTTGCCAGTCCATGTCGCCGAGCATTTCCTCAACAGCGATAAAAATAACGACGTAAGTTCGAAAACTAGCGAAGATTTTTTTATCTCTTATCACGTTCGCCTTTGCAGGAACTCTACCACGAACAATGCGACTTCGTCTGCATCATGTTCGCGTCGATACCGAATTTCTCCGAGTTCTACGTCGAGCTGGAAGGCAACAACGAAGGAGTGGAATGTCTAAGACTTCTCAACGAGATCATTGCGGATTTCGATGAATTGCTGTCCGAGGACCAGTTCAGATATATCGAAAAAATTAAATCGACGGGAGCTACATATATGGCTGCTTCAGGTAGGGACCGACGCGCTTGCAGGAAATCCAATTAATGCCAGAGTACGTGGAAAATTAAAGAGAACGAACCGAGATCTTCCGCTAAGCTCGTTTAGCGTGACGTTAAATTTGCAGTTACATTTACAAGATGTTTTGCTCGGTGCTTGTGCGTGTGTGTAATTGTTCGCAAATTGGATCGTTGCAGTAACTACATGTTTACTGAGGTCTACAGGATTAAACTATTTTCTACAACAAAACATTAAAAGCTTATTTCATGTTTTATGGAAGAGCTGTTGCACAAAACTGACTCGATGTTTTCTTGTTTTCGTACGTCTGGAACACCAACAAAGCGAACACTATTTCTGTTTTAAAAGAAAGTTTCAAATAAATTCCGTCTGTTGCGTGGTTCACTGAGTGAAATTTTACATTATATTGCACAATATTGATATTTTTTGTCAGCTAAAATGCATATATAAACCGTTCTCTTTAGAAATCAGATTCAAATCTCACTTTGGGTAATAAAAAGACTTTTTTACCACAATATGGCAACGTTTTGTATATACACGGTGTCGTTACCATTTTAATAAGAATGTTCCGCTTCCTTATTTGACCAAAAACAAAATTAATAGTGTGTGAATATCACATGCAATTAGGCATTCCGGCACATTCTCAGTTACGAAGGTTGTGGTTGACATTTGTAACAGACACCTTTGTTTCCCTGAACATTGGCTTAGAGAATTCAAACTTTACTCTGTTAAAATAAAAGAAAAAGACCTTACTTCTGCTTCTGTAGGAAAACCATTAAACATGCTAGTGCTTGTATATATATGCCAAACACCACAAAAAATTGACCAACGAGTTGTAATATTTTAGAATTAGACACAGAATTTAATTCTATACAACTTCTTTATGAAAATCTTATAGGTGTTGAGTTGTACGTACATAGATCTCAGGAAGCAGAATTTGAAGATTATTCTAGTATTTTGTTGTGCGCTCATTCTTATCAAGAGTCCAAACTATTTCGAGGTCTTCTCTAATTATTTGGCTTGAGATTCGCTCTTCGTGTTATTCCTTGCATTCATTTTAAGTTTTTCATCTCTCTTGCCTGTATTCTGCTCCTGAAGTCATCATTTAATACCCAGCTCTCGCTGCCATATACAGGATGACTGTTATAATAACGGGACCCCTACCAATTTTTAATGCAACATAAACACATACTAGTTGTCACTGTTTTTGAAAGACGTCAATCAAAATTTCACAAATGAAATTTAAAAAAACACCGACATATTAATTCAAAGAAATGTAATAAATAAATTGAACAATTAAATAAATTTAACCAGCGTAAGTACTGTTCAAAATGCCTTCCTTCCTGCGCAACACAAATTTCGATACGATTTAAATAAGACAACCGGACGCGGGCTTGTGTTTCAGGAGTTATTGCAGCACATGCATTTCTAATTCTGGTTTTTAAATCTTCACAATTACGAACAGGACTTTCTTCTTTTACAACCCCCCAAAGGAAGAAATCTAAAGCTGTTAAGTCAGGACTACGAAGGGGCTATACATTCACACTGCCTCTGCCAATCCACTTATTTGCAAACGTCTCATCAAGATAGTCCCTAACGACTCTGTGATAATGAAGTGGTGCCCCGTCCTGCTGAAACCATAGCTCTTGTCGGAGGTTGAGAGGAATGTTTTCTAATAACCTCGGAAAATCATTTTCCAAAAATTGTCGATTCCTGTGTCCTGTTAAATTGCCTTCGAAGAAGTATGGGTCAAATACGTAATCTGCAATAATACCAGCCCACACATTTGTGGACTAAACATTTTGAAAATGAACTGTTCTGATACAGTGTGGGTTATTTTGGGAGTAATAGTGTCAATTAACAACCCCGTTAATGCCAAATCTTGCTTCATCGCTGAACAAAACTTTGAATAAAAAATTGTTGTCCAACTCTAATTGATGTTGCATAAAATTGCAAAATTGTATTCTTTTGGAAAAGTCTTCTTCTTTTAAATCTTTTACTAATGTCACATGGTAAGGGTGGAACTTCACTCTCAAAATTTTTGAACCGGAAGATTGTGATATTCCTACCTGTCGTACTATAAATCTTTGGCCCATATGCGGGTCATTGTCTACGGCTTCAATTACACGAATCTCATTTTCGACACCAGTAGCGGTAAGTCCTCGACTTCTTGTTTCATTGGCCAATTTTGTCTTAACGTTTTTCCTAAACATCGAAAGACTTGGTCCGATGGATGTCGCCTATCGGAATACCTACTTTCGTAGAGATTTGCTGCTGCAACGGCATTTTTCCGCATTCTCCAAAAATCAAGATCATATCAACCTTTTCACCGTTTGTGTATTTAACCCTCATCTTATCGCGAAGACTAAAAACTTATCGGAACTCACAAATAGAATTATTGCGAAATCCAAAATAAGCTACTAAATAGGTAACTATGTTTGTACATTTTAGAAAAATAAAATATAAAAAGAGTTACATATGAGATATGTATTTTGTGTTGCATTGAAATTTGATCAGAGTCCCGTTATTATAATACTCACCCTGCATTAATATAGGTCGATATATTGTTTCAAACACCGTCATCTTTGTTTTCCTACTAATTTCCTTTTTTCTAATTGTAACCCGGTCTAGCCAGACCGGTGTGGGTCCCAACAATATTAATGTGCGAATAAACTAAATGATTGCGCCTTTTAGCTTCCTGTACATTTTCTTGAGTAGCTTTTTCCCTTCATGAACACCCCACCTTCTATGAGATCTTCTTTCACTCTAAATTCTTTTGATTGTTTGTTACCTGATCTCACATAGTTCCACGTTTTGCTGTAGAGACTTTTTATACCTTGAATAAGTTTACCGCTGACTCTAATTATTCGTCTTGGTAGGCTATCGAACGCTTTTGCCAGATCTAGAAAAGCCATATATATTTGGCTGTTTTTTGTCACCTGTTTTTTAGTCCATATATGGTCCTCTGTGCTTCGTCCCTTTATAAATCCACGCTGTGCTTTCTCTATATTTGATCCTATCAGCTTTCTTCGCCTCTTATCCATTTATTTGCTAAAAAACTCGACCACTATGCTTGTCAAAGTTATTCCCCTATAGTTTCGCATCTGCTACTGTCCCCATTTTTGTGTATCAGTACTACCACTCTAATTTGCCAATCATCTGGTACCTCGCCCTCATGGAAAGCTTTGTGTAGAACTGTGTCAACATTTCGGTTGAATTTTCTCCCATATTCTTGATCATTGTTGGTATTATTTTGTCATGGCCTGCCGATTTTCCATTTTTTCTTGCTCTGATTGCTTTTTCACGTCTTCCATGCCGATTTTTTCTTCCTCTGGTGATTCGATTTGATCTTCTACCACGAGTTCTTGTAATCCACATGTCAGTTCGTCACTCTCTTTGTTTAGCAGTTTATTGAAGTATTCTCTCCATCTGTCCATCTTTTTGTCTTCATCATTGATGAAGACAAAAAGATGTTCTTGTCCCTGATTTGCTTTACTTTGTTCTCTCTTCATTTTCTTAGTTTTGTCAGTACCTGGTAAAATAGTTTTTGGTTTGTTCTGATGTCTTCTCTCAACTTTCTACCAAAATTGTTCCATGATGGTTCTCTTTTGCTTGCAAAACACTTTTTTACGATCTCTCTTTGCTCCAGATATTTTTTTCCTGCTTTACTTTTATTTGCTTCTTTACTTCTTCGCTCCACCAGCTTGTTTGTTTTTTCCTCTTATGTATTTTTGTTGTTCCACATATTTCTCTTGCTGTATTTAGGATGACTTCTTTAAATTCCGACCACATTTGTTTTACGCTTACCTTATTCCAGTCCTCCTCTTTTTCTACAATTTTTGTCTCAAGTTTTCACTTCTCTTTTCGCCAAATCTCTTTACACTAATATCTAGTGTATCTTTCCTATGTTCCCTGTTCATTAACACATAGTCGACATTTGATTTTTCGCTTCTACCACGTATTTCCATGTGTACATTGTGTTCAAAAAAAGAGTTCATAATTAAGAAATTGTTGCAGAAGTTGATAATTCTTTTTTCGTTTTTATTTTTTGTTCCTCCCTGTACCTCCCCATTCCTTCTAGTGTCTTGTTGTTTTTACTTCCGGCCCGGCCATTAAGTCTCCCAAAATGATTGTTCGCCCGACCAAATTTTCCACCGTGTCTGTTAGTTCATTCCAGATCTCCTTTTTTATCTCAATTTTTTTCATATTCGTTTGGTCCATATGTTGTTAATATATTTGTGTTATCTTTTTCTTCTAGCCTTATTTCTTTTTGTAGTATTCTTCCTGAGATGAATCTCCACTATTCTATATATTTTGTATGCTCTTTCTTGACAATGGATCGCACTCCTTTTCTCGCCCTCGTATCTTTACTGACGCCACTATAAATTAATAAATGCTCCCCTTCCACTTCCTCCTACTCTTTCTTTTTCGTTTCGGTTATGCCCAATATGTGTAAGTTTGCTTGCTCAAATTCGGTAATTGATTCTCTTTCTTTTCCTGATACGCTTCTTAAATCAACAATAATAGTGAAAGTCGCTATTTTCAATTGTCTCTTTTCCACCCTTTCCTCTTCCATCTTTCCTTTTTACCGCTTTTCTTATCTTTTTCTTCCTAGGCTATCCGTTTGTTTTATGTCCTGTATTGCTTATCTCTCCTGCTACCTGTGTTGAATTTATATACCATTCTCTTTCCTTTTTCCTTCTCTCATTTATTTATCGTTTACCAAAGTCGTGTCCGTTTTGTCCAAACCCAGTTTTATTGCTAGTTTTTTGGGTTTTGTTCTTGTTGAGTTGAACTTCAAGGGAATCACTTTTAGGTGATCTTTCCTAAACTCTTTGCTCTCCCTTTCTGCCTCTTCCAACCTCTGGGATTTCAGCTGTGTCTGCCGTTTTTTCTTTATTGTATTGATAAGCTTGTTGTATCTCAATACCGCCTTGGCTTCTTCCTCTCTTGCTTCCTTTAGGAGCGGAACTAGTTTTCTTTATTCTTCTTGTATTTCCTTTATACAATCCTCATCAATCCTTATACTAGAGCCTTCCAAATTTTTTACTTGTTTCAGTATTTCCATTTTGCTTTCTTCCGCAGTCAATTTCATTATTATGAGTCTTTTGTTTAAGGGATTATATTTTTCCATTCTCTTTAATTCATCGATGTATTTCTCGCTGTTGATAATTGCTCTTATTGCCTTTATTATTTTTTCAACGTTTGCCATTGTATCTTCTCATTTTTCATCGCCTTCAACTCCTTTTATAATTAGGTACTTTTCTCCTTGATTCTCTTAACAGAGATTCTATTGTTTTTCAACTACTTCCTTCGGTTGTATGTTTTCACTTTTTAGTGTTTTTAGTTCTTGAAACGTCGTTCGAAAAATTATATCTGTTTGACTTAATTTCTTATCTGTTTTCACACAATTTGTCCATTCTTGAAACCGTAATATCTGTAAATTTTTGTTCGCTTCTCTATGCACTTACCAATTTCCACTTCTGATTTACTTCTACGACTTACCCGATATTATTTAGCTCTTTATCGGCTTTTCTCACTTTTGTTCAAAATTCATGAATTTGTACTCGATGTCTCCCAATATATCTAGTTTAATATCGAAGCACAACTATCCACGTACTTCACGCACTGGTTGTCTATCTGTGTTTCCATATATACACAAAAAAAATTAACTAGGTACAAAAGTCCTGAAATGGAATTTTGGAAACACAAAGTTGACTTAAGTACCTGCAGCGATAACAGTATGAGGTAAATACAATATTATCGAATAATCATAGATTTTCTAAACTTTAAGTTAGAAAATTTAACCCTTACTATATAACCAAATTCAGAATTCGTCTAACAAAAAAAGTTATGTTTTTAACACTGTGTCAGGTAGAAGTAATAGTGAAAATGAAATAAGAATTACTGAAAATTCAAATGTTGTAGCTAATAATTCTAACAATAACTTGCAAAATTATAAGTATATATTATAAAGATAGGAAGTCAAAATTTATTGAGTAAAAGTCAGCATAAAAACATAAAAACCAAATCTACTACTACACCCATTTCTACTCATAAAGTTAAAAATTATGTCTTTCTTGACCAGTACCTAAACCATTTGCTGGTCTAAATCATTCGCTTCTTTTTTTAAAAATTAGAATACTTTGGAGTTTGAGGTGGATAAAATTGTATCTAAATAATCATTCCCTATTTGTAAAGGTAAATAAAAATGACAGAGAATATGAATGAAGCCTAGAAAAAATAAAATTAGGCGTATCTGAAGGAAGTATACTAAGACCATTGTAATTTATTATATAATTGAATGACATTAATACAACATTTAAGGACGGAAATTCTACATTGACAAACTATCCAGATTCAATAGCAGTCAGATAAAGTAGCAACAGTATTATATGAATCCAGTGAAGATTCCACTATAGAAAATACGGAGAAAACCGATAGTTGGAGTGTAATAATAGATTTGTACTTATCTGATGGAAGCAACCAATTTTTATTAAAAAATTATTGCATGATATTTTATAAACACCCTGTATAAAAACCGTATACATACGTACACATTAGTTTGCCTTATCTATCACATCATGTTTTAATCTTTCTTATTGCCTTTAAACCAAAGTTAATATTAAAGTAGTTGAAGTCACAGGGACTTAATTTTTAATACCCAAACACATTCGAAATGTCGCTGCTTAGCTGCAGTGAGAATCTGCTATTATAAGTCTCTACGTAAAATATTTTTGAATAATAGCATCTCAGCAGATTACATTTTTTAACACTCTATGAGTTGGTGAAATCTACCGTTTATTCTGAATAAAATTAATTTTTTTGTATTTAAAAGTAACTAATGAATAATAATCAAATAATAGAAACTACGTTTACTCTAATGCTTTCAAAATCTGTTTGATGATATTGAGCATTCTTAATTCCATGATCATGAGATTATTATGAAGTAAATCTTATTAAATATAATGCCAAAAATATGTAAGAATTTCTAGAACGTAATTCATAGCAATGTGCATATTGTGCATAAATTATCCCGGCGCCTCCACCATAGTTGAATTAATTATATCTTCCGCTGGCACGGTTAGTTTCAACTCAGCGTCATTGGTACGAGAAATAGACTAAAAGAAAACTGTTGAAAATGAACAGGACAGATAATCCTAAAAACTAACGAACCTAATATTTCAAATTCTTGATTCATACTTTCCAAAAATTGTCTGAGAATATATACTATTAATTGAATATATTTTCTGTAACTATATGCATACGAGTTGCCCTAAAATAAAAGATTGGATTGAAATTGGTCATTATTGGTTATTATATTCCATTTAGTCTTACAACAATTCGAATCACACTTTTTTAATTATATAAAAATTTTATGTTAACGTGCACTGTATCATCAAAGTTGTTTTTTTTTATTAGCAAGCTAGTGAACAGTGTTTTAGCATTATTTATAATAAGTTAGTCCTCTGAATACATAAAACTACTCAATTAATCCTTTTAAATGTTGCGTTTCGTAACTTCATGACAACACCGAAATAAAATACTTTTTATATGTTTAATTCCGTTTTAACGAGATTGTAGTACACACACATCACCACATTTTTTTACAAACGGAAGCTTCCCATTTACAAATTCATTTGAGAGCACGAGCTTGATAATTTGACTGAATAAAGCAACTAAGTAGCTTGACATAAAATTGGGTAGAGAATTTGAAAGAGCAAAATAAACCTTTGTGACATAATTGAAATATTCAAAGACATGTTTTCCATGTGTAGGACTTTAAAAGATGATTTATCATTTTACGATTAATTCAGCGTGGAAACCACTGTATGGAATAATAAAACTCATCTAAATAAAACATCAAGATAAAATTCGTAAACCTCAAGTACAGGAGTATATTATTTCATACGAAATCGGCAATACAATGAGCGGACGTCATCAACTTGCTGGTGGGGGTGATTAGCCAAATTTTGGTTAACGTGTTGACAACAATCGATCCAGTAGTTTCGGAGATTATCTGTCTACTAAAAATCAGAACAGACACCAGACAGACAGACAGACGGAAACACAAGGTTGCACCTTCATGTGAGAATTCCTGTTCTTACAAATCGTCCCTCTTTCCATCCTCACTATGTATTAAACCATTATTCATCGCCACTTCGGAAATTTGATGACGCTATCTCGGAGAATTATTAGGCATATCTTTACCAAACAATACACTACAAGATTGAACGTCGTAATATTTTTTAGATTTTTTTATCCAATACACCAGATTGAAAATCTCCTCTAAAATATCGCCGTTACTGAGAAAACTTCTCCAGTTATAGCCATTTTCTTATTCTTAAGTTGACTCTCTTATTGTTATTTAATAGGTCAAAGCATCTAAAACTAAGTTATGAAAAAGTTCCAAACAACTTTACAGTGGCAATATAGAGCTTCCTGTTATCTTCATCCAACGACAATGTTACCAACTTCCAGGACGTATTAAACCCCTATAACTGTTACAGGACTCACTCAAAACACCTGCGATATGCAAGGATATCGCCACGTGACCGCCATGGCCGACTACGCTCTACAAATACAGGAGCAACTCGCCGAGGTGAACGAGCACTCTTTCAACCACTTCCGCATCAGGATAGGCATCAACGTGGGTCCCGTGGTGGCTGGGGTGATCGGCGCCAGGAAGCCCCAATATGATATCTGGGGCAACGCGGTGAACGTCGCCAGCCGCATGGATAGCACGGGAGTCTTAGACAAAATCCAAGTAAGCACGTCCTAAATCACGATTATACTCGTCCGAATAAAACCGCCGGATTTTCATTCTTTTATTAGTGTCCTAAATTTCGGGCAAACCCGCATTTGGACACGTTCCAACCGATCGATGCGCAGTCGAAAATTTCCCTTTACTAGTTACTGTTATCAGAATTTGTTGACTCGAAGGAAACGTGTTTTCAGGTAACCAAGGAGATGTACCAGATTTTAAGCTCCAAGGGATACCCGCTTACGTGCAGAGGGACTATCCAAGTGAAAGGGAAAGGGACGATGGAGACGTATTTTCTGGAGGGTCGCTGCAAGAAGCCGCAACCAGAGACGAATATTACTGTGAATCCCCTAGCTAATCTTAACTCAGAAAATAGCAAAACTTTCTCACCTCATCAAGCAACTGTGTTAGATACAATCTCTGAGAAAATCTAAGCTGATATAATTTATTTATTTTTTATAGTACGTACGCTGCAGATGCAATGGCCGTTTTCAGTCAAAGATCATCGTAATGATATTGTACAAAATGACAATAATTTATAAAAAGAACAAGATGGAAAGCATCCGGTTGACTAAAAATAGTCGTTGCGTTGCGGAAATATCTGTAAATATTGTTAGTTTCGAACTTATTTTTATGTATATAATTTTTTTAATAAAACAATAAATTTGTTTAATTTACTCACTACCGAATTTTCTGCACCCCTTCATCAAATTTACTTATAAAATTTCTAGATTAACAGACTTAAAATCGAACATGATTTCAACAACTCAAGATTTTCTACCACATCTAAATGAAAAAAAATCCCTTTATAATTCAGACTTTTGGATAAATTTAATAAGGAATTTTCAGACTAGTGTTAATTTGTTACAGCGTTTGTTTTGCTATTTGGTTATCCACTACAAGACCAGATCCTTTAGTTAGGTATCCTTTAGTTGGGCTATAGCAACTTTAAGAAGAATAGAGTTGATAAAAAAAGGGTAACACAATTAGATATTGTAACACCAGATGTTGAATCGTTTCTAACAAATAAATCAATATATTTCGAGATTTTAAGATGCCAGACGACGATCGTGCAATGCACTCCATTCTACCATTTCGTCTTAGTTAACAGTGGATTTATTAATCAATTAGTTACTCATCTAACGCGTTACAGGTTAAACCAACTATCTTCAATACTTGATTTATTCCTAACATCAAACGAGGGATCACTAACAGTGATTGAATATTGCGATCCAGGTGCAGATCTGGTTCGTACCTAGTAAACATGCTATAACCTTTAGGATGTCAGTCACTAATTGGTAGGAGGTTAATCTTGAGCTTGTTTACATTCATTGGGGGCAAACGTTCAGCCATAAGGTTTGAAAACTGAATTTCAACCAATCCAAATGAAAATAGAAATCGAAAAATCCAGTACCTAAACTAAAAGATCGGAAATGGCCGGATCCTGACGATATTTCCATCAAATCACAAATAAATTGTGCCAGTTCTTTGGCTAAACCTGTCGTTCTTCCTTTTAACAAATAGTTTAACCCTGACTGGAAGACTGCTGCGCTACGGCCAGTTTATAAAAAATGGGGTAAAATAATATCGGTGGAAGTTCAGGTTATGGAACTGGTTATCATTGATGATAATATAGTGGCATTTTTTTCAAAACATCAGATTAAAATACACCTACAAAACAACACGGATTTGTTCTATGAAAATCCCTAGTTAGCAAAAGCTTGTATTGCCTCTCGAACTGAACGAAATATTTTGATAAATTATAATATTGATACTGGTCATTCCACTGATATTGTGTACTTTGATTTTTCAAAGGCCTTCAGTTGGATACCGTGACATTGTCTGTTATTTCAATTATATCACAATAGTATAAAAGGAAATATTCTGTACTGGATAACCGAATTTCTCAAAGCCATCCTTCAGAGTTAAAATGGGTAACCCGTTTAGCTTTTGTGCAAGTCCGCAGTGGAGTTCCCCAGGGATCCATTTTAGGGCCGCTACTCTTTATAATATTTACAGCAGATCTAGTAAACAAATAAAAATCTCCCTCTGTAATGTTTGCTGATCATATGAAACTTTTCAAGAGGAGATTAAAGCACTAATAAGTGGTCTAAAACGTGGTTGTTACCATTAAACAATAAAAAATATAGAGTTCTGCGTGTAGACAAGAATAATCCCCGACGCAGCCATTACTTGGATGACTAAGAATTAAAAAAAGGTAATTCCTATAAGTAGTAAAACTTGTGTCAAATCCGAGGCTTTGGTAGTTCTTCAAATATATAAAGCAAACATTTTGGATTTTGCCATTGGGTTTGGGATATTTTAATTGTTTACGAGCATGTCAATGGAGAGCAACTTTAATCATTTTTTACTTAGAGTGAAATTCTGAATATTTTGAGAGGCCCAACTTAGTGGAACTCTCGTCATGATAGACAACAAAAACAGGAAGCCATTATTGCATATACAGCACTGACTAAGGATAATTCAACAGTAAAACATCTTTTCGCTCTACATAGTCACCATCGCTCGAGAGAACACAAATTCAAGTTAGCTGAAGAGAAATTTGACACCACTGTGAGACAAAACTTTATTTCTTTCGCTACCTTCGGAAATTGTTCAGAACAACACCGTTTTAAAGACAAAAATATACAATGTTGTTCTGTTGATTCCTACCTTTAGAAATTAACACGCCACTGGTCCAAGAATCGCACCCATTACCCCTAACTCATACTTTTACATACTTTATTACGCTTATACTAAAAAGAATCGTTGCTGTATCTCTACATTTAACAACGTACAGGTTGCAAAAGTTTCGCCCAGATTGCATTAACAACTCTTAAAAAGCCTCAAATATGATTTTCGTTTTATTCGTGACAATTTAACAAAATAAGGTAATAATAGAGAGAAAAACAGTACCCACTGGTTAAATTAAAAAAAACATAAATAGAAAACATATTTAGCAACAAAAAGCCAACAAAATTAAGAAATATGTAAAAACGAAACAATAAGGTTAAAACATTATTATTAGTAACAAACGAAAAAAAGACAGGTTTAGATAGAATTCCCAGAAAAAATGGTTCGAATGCTATTTCGACAGAGCTTCCCTCGCCCTTGAAGCATAATCTGACAAATCCAGCTCTTTAAAAAAATTATGAAATTTGATTTTACGATTTTCGTTTTGAAATAACCGCTATAAAGTAAAACTAACGGCATAAATAACACCCCCGCAGCCCCTGCGCCGTACAGACAATGTAAAATATATTTAAAGCACATAACTAACTGGATAAAATGTCCTTCAGCACTAAGTAATAACCATCTGAAGCTTATCAGTTTATTTATACTTATACATCGAAAGAATGTCACGCAGAACTTAGTTTGATTTGTCTTCTCAAAACACAGGACTAAAATTATTAATTAAACCACAATCGACCAAAACATTCTCAATATTATAATTTTTACTTTAACATTATTACATAAAGATGTGCGTATTCTCATATTTTCGAGAAAATGGAGTTCGTTCTTAATTTGACCAATAAAAAATTTGTTACAACGTCATAAACATAGAGAAAAAGAGAAAAAAAAAAGGAAAAAAACGAAAGGTGAAGCCTGGAAACGAACGCGCGATGTTCGGACCGTATTCCTCAACCTCAACCACTAGACCACGACCGTGATTCCTTACGCTAAAGGTAAATTACTGTTGTACCGTGCTTTATGTTTTTGCAAAAATTTGGACGGTTAGGGAATAGTGGATTCGTACACCACACTTATAGCAGTATATTGTCGTATAACAGCTAAATCAAATAGACAAAATTGTTTGCGATGACGTCATCAAATCGTTGCTAGGGATGATTAACAAAATTTTGGTAAGCATTTAACATTATATATATCTCTAATATACTGTTACGTTGTACGGGCGAATAAAATTGGCATAGACTCCACTAGCTGAATAATCCCTTCTCCAAAAGTGGACTCTATTTAAACAGCACGCGGTCCTTCTCGAAGCCCTACGTCACCGCTTCTAAACTTCTCCGGAATCCCCATTCGCGACTTCCATTTCCAGGCGTTTCTTTGACGCTCCGTCGCTCAGTCGCATTGAGGAAGAATCATCACCGGCGTAAGACCAGACAGTTCTCGACGGCCATAGGCATCGTACCGAGACGGTATAAGGGTGTATTTGGTAACAATACATACAAAATTTGACAACAATCGGTTCAGCAGTTTCGGAGATTACGTGTCTAATAAAAGTGGATACAGACACCAGACAGACAGCTGTAGGGCTCACGAAACGTCGAGAAAATATAAAAATAGGCATTCGTCCGATAGACTCGATTACTATACCTTCTTAGCTTGCGCTCGGGAAGTAAAAATTAACACAGCTTAATATGAGAACCAAAAACGATTCTTTTCAAGGATTAGAAATGCTAGAAAAAACAAAACCACTACATTCAAAAATATGAAAGATGAAAACGAGATCATGACAGGTGGAAACGGTATTTTACGGGTTCGCTTGAAGGAAAAGAATTAAGTTGAACACCAAAGAACACTAGTTATACATAACAGAAAATGGCGAAATCTAGGCAAGGATAATATCACCACAGAAGTGATGGAGGTAGTAAAAAACAAAAAGCTAAAATTTTGTAATAAATAATAATAAAGAATAAAGTTTTGACATCAGATGCAACTCCCAACGACTGATAAACGGAAATAATAGTCCCAATTTACAAGAAAGGAGAGATAAAAGAGTGCAAAAATGGCCTAGGAATCATCTTGAAAAAACCTAGAAAAAACTTTAGAAGCCTCGGTTTAACTGTACATCAAACAGATGAGAACAAGGGGGATAGTATATGCTACCTTTATCAAAAGACAGATCAACAAGAATAGGGTAGACAGAGAAACTACAAAGAAATGAAGCAGGGCTGTATTTTAAACCCACTACTATTTTGCAGCACTTTTAGACGAAGGCATAAAAGAATTAACCCTTTCGCTACGAAGCTCGAATTAAAATTTCTTGCCTCTAAAACGAGACACTTTTTTGGTTTTGAAAACGTACGGTCTTCGTTTCGAGGACTCCATTTTTCGTAAACATACGTCCTTCGTACACAGGATACAAAATTAAGATGAATCAAGAGAAATACAACCAAATATGTTTAGTCAACCAAGGTGGCATCACCAGGGCAATAAATGTACTGGATATGTATATTGATGATATCAACTTGTTTTACAAAACGCATAGCCTTGTTGATATATTCAATTTAGTGTTATGGATTTATTTTACTTTAATATTTCAGGTCATCTACGCAGGTTTTAAAGTATAACTACTTGTATACTTTAATTAGAAAGCATTAACGTGCTAAACGAAACTAAAGTGGAGCTCAATATTTGAATTATACCACCTAGACGAAGACCGTAATTTTTCGTACAGAACAGAAAGCAGAACCCTAATTTATGCAGTCAGTACCATCTGTGTGCAACGGATTTAAAGAAAACGTAGAGACCAAATGCGTACGGGCTTCGTCCTAAGTAAGAGATACAAGTGAAAAAATACGGTCTTCGTTCTAAAGCACACAAATTATTAGACCGTATACGTACGGTCTTCGTAGCTAAAGGGTTAAAAAGACAAATATAAAGTAGAATACTGAATGCTGAAAACTATGAACGAAAATTTAAAATAAATATTTAGTAAAAACCTGGAAAAAATTAAGTAAAAACGTTCACTAAACCAGAAGAGTATAAAACTAAGACAAGTACACAGTTTTAAGGCAACATGATAGAAACAAAATAAAAATTGGACTAAGAAATTAAGATAAGGACAGAAAAACAGTTCGATTTATTAAGAGCATAAAAAATTCCTTCTTAAGCGAAATAGAGATACCTAGGCAAATAAAAACACAGATATTTAAAAGAGTAGTAACACCAACACTTATACTTATTTGGATCTGAAACTTGGATGACAATAAAGAGCCAAAAAAGGAACCTTCGAGGTTTCTTAGAAAAATCGGAGGAAAAATAAGATTAGATAAAATAAAAAACACAGTGTTTAGCAAACACTATACAGACACCAGTACAAATTTTAACACCAGAGGGACAACTAAGCTAGCTGGGACACTTAATGAGAATTGAAGGAGAGGAAAACTAGAATTATGAACAGAAAACTAAGAGGAAGACCAAGAGAATGTGGACAGAACTTAAACTTGTTGCAGAAAAGAGAATTATTAAGTGGAACAAGTTACGCAGACAAATACAAGATAGAAAATTCTAGAAGAAGGCATGGAAAAGGAAACCAAAGCAATAACTAGTTACAAAGGTACAAACTGGTAAAATAAGCTAGTGAGACATTTATTTTCCGGATGTAAAAACCCTCTGCAGCTTTCAAAAAATGAAATCAGATATTACAGACTGATACAATTTTTTCAATATGACAAATCTAAACACACAAAGAAATCATTATTAAAGTAATTGGATGGCAACACTACAGTTATTAAGATGGTGTGGCGGAAAATTTAAACTGTAATAGTGGACAAAGCGAAACTTAAATTCCTCATATATCAATCACTCTTCCTCGATAATTTTGTTCTATTGACAAGTATAACAGACATTCCACATCTGTATGCCCAAAAAACCTGCCACATATTATACACTTTACCGCGTCTTCGCTAAAGAGCCGGCTATTTAACCAAGCTGTACCTTTTACGCGGACATGATTCTCCCTATAAAGTTTCCTCTTTTTCTCGAATTGAAAAGATAAGCAAACAACATTTTATTACTCCACAAATGCAGTAGAAATCAAAATAAGGTAGGTGATGTACAAATAACAACATCAAAAAAAAAACAAGCATAAATTAAACCTCACATGCCTCCAGTTCACAATGTTAATACTTCGACTGATGAAAATTTTCAAGGTCTTTTCTCAGAAAATGGATCAACGCCTTTAAGATTACTTTAAACGAACGGCATAAATCGAAAATTAAACATTATAAATCTCGAGTGAGAAGCTTAATAAATAAATTAGGTAAAAACATCTCATATCGTTATTACAAAATAGTTAGGCCTGAATAAGTGAATTCCATGTTGCGTGTAATAAACTGATCCTGTACCAATTATGTTCGTTGGAAAAGCACTGTGGCGTCGAATACGGATCATCTTTGTTTAAATAAATAATTGCCCTTGTATGAAATTACAAAGAATTCTTTACACACCAAAATTTAGCACATATTTCCACTGAAGTGACCAAGAGATCCTTAAAAATCTACCTTTCAATCCCCATGCCCCTACAAAGTCTAGGGTATTTTTCTTACTTTGCTTTTAATTTTGGTGGTTTTTCAGTTTTTTCCTGAAAATATGTTAGTAATTTAAACCGTTACAAAAATTTAATTACTTGTGTCATCTTCTCTTTCTTCATCAAAATCATGCTTCAAGTTTTGAAAGCGCTGAGGAATATTGTAGGAGCAATAACAACTTGAAGAGCCTATTTCTGTTTGAATGGAAGAAAAATGGTATGCCTTAGTTGTAAAAATCATATAATAATAGGGATATTATATGATAAGATACTTATTATTAGGGTGCTAGCGTCATAAACAACCACTTGTCACTAAATTTTGTTAATACTAAAGCTTTAATATTGCATTTTCTTCATAATTACCGTGCCCAAAGAGTGACGTCAATAACAAGCTTCATTTCTCATTCTAAATAAACCGTGTACACACGATAGAACAACTCATTAAATTTACAAGACGAATGTGCACTGAAGTTGCTTTCATATTTCGTATATGTATTCAAATTAATCACATTTCTCTCTGTTTAACAAACAAAATGAATAAATAATAACTTCCCGTCGCAGAGAGAAAAACACTCATTCTATGAACCACGTGAAATGGTGCGTAATAACTTCAAACACACAGAAAGAAATTCATTTAGCAATTTTCTGAAGACATCCACTCTAATTAGCCTTAAACATTTTCAAGACGATGACAAAAGTTAGTTCGGTGTTTCTGCGGTGTTAATATTTTATGCATACGTTTTATTTACAGTTGTAGGAAAAGTTATTTGGGTCTGCATTAATGTAGGCCTCGTAGGTATAACATGCTTGGTGATTATGGCAATTTGGGATAAATTAACTCGCAATCCAACGCTGACTACTTTAGAAAATACTAATTTTCCAGTAAGTAAAGTACCATTTCCAGGGGTTTCTATCTGCAATCTCAACAAAATTAGCAAGAAGAAAGCAGAAGATGTGGCCGCTTTTATGTAAGTTACTACTTTTATTCTGAGAAAAAAGGATTCTTAGTTGCAAAATTAACATTTAAAACATTGTATTATAATTCAAAACATAACAGACGCTAAAAAAAAAAAGGAAAACGAGGGACAAAACCAACAAAATAAGAACGATTTTTCAGATCAGACACAACGGGTTCGGCCCTTGATGTAGTTCAGGATTACATGAAAACCCTTGGGAGCTTCTACGACTTTGACGATACTAACATCCACAAGCAGTTGCAGTTTCAGCAAATTTTAGAAAAGTTTACTCATGTTGATGAATTTAGACCTGTCAAACTTATGAAATGGGTGAATTTAGATATTTTGTTTTAACCATTACGAATATTTTGTTGTAGTTGTCACCCACATGTGAAGATTTCTTGTTACGTTGCTCTTGGAAGAACCAAGAAGTCAACTGTAGCGAAATTTTTCAACTAAGATTGACTTTTGAAGGCTACTGTTGTGTTTTTAACTATGTGAAAGAAACGAATGAAGTGTTGGTGAAGTTTCAGGTCTAAATTGTTGGTTATTTTGTCTTTTTTTTTTCAGGATATCTGAATCTTTTCGTCAAAATGAGATCATGTTTGGAGAGGCGGGATTACATTCAGGTCTTACAGTGGTGCTGAATAATCAATTGAATGACTACTTTTATACGAAACAAGCGTCAATGGGTGCTAATGTATATCGGTATTTGCGTAGGTGTCTCATACATTATTACTGTGTTTTTTAGGTTCATATTTTTAATCCAACAGATTATCCTGATAAAAGCAGTGGCGGTTTAAGTGAACAGTTGATAGGGATTTCTACGGAATTTTTAATACAGTTAGAAACCATTACCTATGACGCTGTTAGAGACGTTGTGTATCATCCTGTGGACGAGGTAGACTTGTTGCTAAGAATTCTGTTGTATATAGAGTTATCCATTTATCGCCCCCTCCAATAAGTTGTTGACGTCATTTCAAAATTTTGCTAAATAAATCTTTTCTGAAATGTGCAAAACTCAAAAAATTAATGAATGATTTATCATTATGAATTATTTTATTCTTTAAATCAAAAACGCCTTGTCTCATTGTCACGAAAATTCGAGAATACAGTATTTTTATTATTAGTTAGTAGTTATTACATTATATCTATCTAAATTGATATCCTTACGAAAATGTTGATGACGTCATCACAAAATTTTGTTATGAAAAACTCACTTAAAACCTGCTTAAAGAAGCATGCTGTGTGTATGTTTTTGCCTATGTATAAACTATTGGCAAAGACCTGTAGTTTACCTCACGGATGTTCCGTCTAAATAACCCTATACCATTTTCTTTTCAGCGAAAATGTTATTTTCCCTCCGAAAAACAAACTTACTTTGGACTTTACTCTGAAAGCGACTGCCTTATGGACTGTAGAATGAGGAGCATGGCTGCTTTGTGTGGTTGTGTACCATTCATGATACCACAAAATCGAACCTTGGTTTGTGGATTATCAGACATTCAATGTCTTAGTAAATATAGAGGTACTGTATTTTTATCTTTATCTGCTGGCATGTCATAATGACAACATTATAAATATTAGTTTGGAAACCATAACAACGTTGATTATTGTACTGAGTACCATAGTAGAAATATAGGGGAGTAGAAGTCATCATCATTTAAACAGGTAGAAAAAGTAAACTATTTGTAAGACAATTTTATTCAATGTTTTTGGTCCCTATATCCTTCAAACGTGTGTTACAAAAATACAAATCGGTATCTATTTGCTACACACTCGGATTTGTTAAATAATACATACATCACAAATTTCTAACTTTTTTCTTAATTTCTGCTAGCAGATAAAATTTTGTATGTCATTCGGATTGTAACTAATCATAATGGTACATGTCGTGTTATCCTCGTCTCATAATAATTTGTACGACTAGTACTACCATAATGATTGGTTTGATCCTTATTACCAAATTTGTTTCTTTAATAATACGTTTTTAGTTAAGTGGGACGCGTTGGCTCCACCTGATGCTTTTATACATAGCAAATTAAAAAGAGAAGCTCACTATGCATTACATTGTGAAGACAGATGCTATTCAACTTGCACCACTTATACGTACCAAATCGCAACCAATCCAGTGCCCATCAAAGATCCGTAAGAATTTTTACTACCTACCTATAATTTAACATTTTATAATTTAACTTCGAAACTACGAAGCGATTGCTCTGAAATCTTCGAAACGCTTCAAGGGTATAGTCAATAAAATGTACCTGTGTTCCCTCCGAAAATGATGACGTTACATACAAATTTTGCTAAATATATAAGTCTTATCTAAAATGTGCAAAATATTACACTTCTTGTTTATCAGTACAACTACATATTTTAGAAATCCCCAAAATGTCTCAAGAACATAACCTTGACGTATTTGTTCTTTCGAAAAAGTTGATGACCTTATCACACAATTTGACTTCTGAAAAATTGAATTTGCTTGATTATTTCACAGTCGAGGGAAGTTCTGTTCAAAAAACCTTTAGACCAATTTCTTAGAATTGTAATAGAGCCTATCTGGCGAACAACTACTTTAATGTGTTATCGATATTTCATAACCCCTAGTGTACGAAAACACGGGTTTGGCGTTTCCATCTGTGGGTCATCTGTCTGTCGTCTGTCGTCTGATCGTCATGTGTCGCGGTGTCGATTTTTATTAGACAAATAATCTCTGAAACTACTTCGCGTTGATTCAAGATCCAAGACACACATCCATAAACAACCAAGGTCTTATACTTCATCATCTTTTGTAAACTTCCTAACGCTCTACTTCCTTTGGTTAATCTTTTCTCCATATATTTTTGCATATTCTTCATTCTTCACTTTTACCGTTACCTCTAGGTATTCGAATGGTTTTACATTCAACACTACATAGATTTTCCCTTCATCTGTCTTTATTTCCATATTCTTGTTTATTACGCTGTCAGCGCTATCATAAGACCGTATTCCCTTGACTTACTCTCCAATCTTTTAAATAAATTCACCAGTTCCGTTTTTGTTCTTGATATCAATCCAATATCATCTGCATATGCTAATATTGTTGATGTTTGTTGTAAAAGATTATTCCTTTCGCTTGTATTCCACCTTCACTCAAAATAGTTTCCAAAACTAAATTAAAAAGTATTCTTGATAAAGTATATGCCTGTCTAAACCATTTTCTGCGTTTTTGAATTTCTTTGGTATTCTCCTGTTAAATATGTCATTTCCGAATAAATTTAATCTCCTCTTTATCAGTAGAGAAAGCACTTCTTTTTACTTTCCTTCTTGTAAACGAGGTAGGTAGGTATTCTTCTCCAGAAGTCATTTCCTGTCTCCAAATTTGTCTTAATATTGCGCAAATTTTTATTGCAGCAATTCTCCTTCTTTCATAAATTCAGCTGTAACTCCATTTCCTCCCAGGCTCTTATTATTGTTCAAACCTTTTCTAGTGTGCATAATTTCTTCTTCAGATGGTTCTCGTTCTATATTTCTTCCTCCGAAGATAAATACCTCTACATTTAAAATTTAATCCGCCATCCTCTTCTGTGCAGTATACCGGTCGTTTTATGTGTGTTTTTTTGTTTCTGTTAAATTCTTTATAAACTCTGCGTTGTGTTTTTCCAGTATTTTCGATTTTTCTTTCCGCAAACCTGTTGAACCATTTTAGTTACTTTCTTGTACCCTTCACAGTCCTTAATGCTTCAGTCTTTTCTCTCAAGCACTTTATTCTTGTTATTAACATTTTCCTTTTCTCTAGCGTCGCCTCACATTGTTCATTTAGCAAGTTTTATGTTTTCCTTTTTTCGTTTTCTTAAAAGTCATCTTCACTCTTTAGATTATCGCTGTTTCAATGGCTCCCTTTCGGTTTTAATGTTATCTTTTTCTTTCAACTCTCTTTCAAATGCCTCTTTTTCTTTTCATCCTTCAAGTCTTGTTTTACATTTACTTTTCCATTTGTAACGTCATGTACTTTTTACTCTCTAATTTCATGGTCACTATAAGACCTGATCTGAGTTGGTGTCTGCTCCGCTAGCTTGGCATGCTTATTCTCAGTTAAAATATGATCTATGAGATTATGACTTTGACCTATCATCAAGGGAGATCCAGGTAGTTTTGAGAATATCTTATAATTAAAAAAGATACTTACTATTTTCATTTACCTCTCTGTAACAAACTATATCAGTTTTAGGCCGTTGTCACTGCATACTTAATATATTTACTTTTCCCTCCCTTTATTTTTTATCCCCCTCTTCTCTACCAATTTTAGCATTGAAATTCCTAATATATCACCAATATTATCTTTTTCTTCTGTCGGAGCATGGCACCGATTTTTAGATACTTCGCATATTCAAGTATCCAACATATCCTATCCGATATAGTTTTGAATTCCATTACCAAATTTTTTAGATTTTTATTTAATAAAAGTCCCATACTTTATTTTTCTCCCACTATTAAACAGTACTTGTATGTACTATGTACATATATTATTGTAAATATAATGTATTCCCCTATTTCTACAATTTCATTATTATATATTTCGTTTGGTTTCTTGTAACACTAGCATTTCTATTCCGTAATTTTTTGCAACTCCTATTAGACTTCAGGGCTTTTCTTCTTCATTATCTGCACTTCGCACATTTCAAGTTCCAACGTTTGTTTCTTTATCTTCTAGCTTAGTAACGATTTTCTTTTGTATATTGCTTTTTCTCCCTTTACCACCCGTTTTTGATTCCAATCTCAATCTTCTATTCTTCACCGAATCTGTCTACAATTTCCTATTACCGGTTTACCACTTTAATTTTTTGCTTCTCGGATTTCTCCTAGCTTTTATCCTATCTCCACTTTTCTCATTGATATTTCATAAAATAATAAGGACGGTTCTCCTTTCAGGCCATTTCCAATCGTTCCCATATATTATTAATCTATCAGGGAGATTCAAATGTCAAGTTCTGAATGGAGTTTTGTCTCTAGCATACTTTGGCTTGTTGTAAAAAAAACGTCTACAAACCTAGAAGTTTGCTCAGGTAATGAACTGGATGTCCTTCTGTTTCTTTTTTTATTGTAAACCATAATTCACATAGAGCTTTATATTACAATGAACCTTACCAATCTGACTACATTAGATATTTAATTTTTCTGAAAATTTTCTAATTCTTTTGATTGATTGTATTTTTCTATTGTATTGCATACTAAAACACTCCAAGTGGAGCATAAGTGTTTTTTGGGTAACTCTTTAGATATCTATTTTCTTGATTATTTTTCTCCAATTTTTTCTATTTTTGGGGTTTCTTTTCCAATTCATACCTTGGGTCTTCCACTCATTCTTCTGTTTCCTGGGATTTATTGTAACAATCCAAAGTTAACTGTTCCTTCTGCTCTCTATACATGCCCTAGCCATTTGCATAGTTGCTGTTTTATCTCTTCAACTCTCTGCATTCACTATTTGACTTATTTCATAATTCGTTCCAGATCTGTAGTGCTGTTCTTGTGTTTTACCAATCCGGGGATCCTTCTCATTATTTTGTTTTCGGCTCTTCTTAACTCTGTTTCATCCTTTTTATAGATTGTCATATATTGGTTTCCGTGTAAGATTCTGCGACTTAACATGTCTTGGTTTACGTAGAAGGCTCAGTTTACTAACTTATTTTTCTTCTCTGAGCTTCTCGTTCCGTTACTCTCTACCATTATTTTCAGATATCTCAATCAACTTGCTTCCTCGAGTTCATGTTCTACAGTCCTGAACATTTTGATTTTGTTTTCGTTAATTGTTAGACCCAGTTTCGGTCTTTCCTTCGTTATTACTTCTAGAATTTTCTTCAATATTTCTCATTTCTTAGTTACTATAGAAGGATATCATCTGTGTCTCCATGTCTTACTTCATTATTGATGGTGAATTTATCTCTTGTTCTGTTTTGCGTTTCTGTTTCTACTTTTGTTCTGCGTAACGGCATCCAAAATTAATCTTTTAAATTTTACATCTATTTCTAATTCTTTTAAGGCTTCCATGAATTTAATCTTCTGATTGAGTCAAATACTTGTTGGAAATCAATAAACCACTCAATGTTATATGAATTTACTGTTCTGGCTACTGATGACAAAAATTCATAATTAGTGCAGTACTGACTGAAGAACATCGGATTGTTCCTTAGATTTCTCGTGGGGCAGCTGAAACTAAATAACCCTAATAATTCAGTGCAGTATGGATCATCATACATAAGCCTAAAGAAAAAAACTAGATCACTTTTTAAATTTCTAGTTTCAAGGGTCTCCACTGTCAAAATAGCTCTTATTTGATTATATTTATGGTCCCTTCTTCTGTAGGCCAGCTTCCACACATGTCCGAAGGAAAAAAATTTGGACATTTTCAACATTCTTAATATATATTAAGTAGATAGGTGACCATATAATATTAGCATATTCTAAAACGAATTTTACAGTTCCACAGACCAGTTTGTATGTATTAACCGAAATAATTTTAATAATCTATTAACCAAGTAGTTTAAAATCGGAGATAACTCGTAAGTGCCTAACTTCTAACACCATTTGTACTGGAGTACAACAATTACACTTATACTTAAAAAAGAGATTAAAAGAGGGATCCCTGAGGAACTCCAGATTTAACTTATATGGACCTAAAGGATTTAGCAAATGAATTTGCAATTTCACTAAGTTCCGAGAAATATATATCAATAAATTTCATCGAATTGAGATAACTCTTTATCTTATTCTTATTCCTCCAATATTTCCACAATGATTTCGGACTGGAATTTTTGTCCGTTAGCCTAATATATTCATTGTAACGTTAGTTTGTTTCAATTTTAAACAAACTTCTAATATGAGAAAATTCTATGTAAGCTGAGCAAACACCTGGAGTTTTATATTTGATATGTACTTAATTGTTTGTTTAGACGAATTAGTTTTATTAATTCACAAGAAAACCACTTAGGATACTGCGACGACTTAAATTTCTTGGTTGGAACCATATTTTGAATTACTTCGTTTGATATACCTATGATGAAATATGGAAAGGTTCGCTACGTAACAACCTTGTCAATACATTTCTCACTTTCTAACCATAAAAACGTCTTTGTAAGCGAAAAAATATACACAATTCCTTTGTACCTATGTATGTATTTTCGAGGTTCTTACAGACAATGTGTAAACATAAATCTAGTAGTTTTTGATTGTATAATGTATTTTGCAGTGCATTTGGTAACAACAGCGTCCTTCGCATTTATTACAACGACCATGATTCATTCTATTATAAATTAGACGTGTACTACCACTGGTTCGAAATACTGAGTAAACACTACAGACTTAAACAATATGAAATTACAAATATATATTTTTCTTGTAGGCAGAACTGCTGGAGCCTTTAGTTTGATCCTAGGTGTCAGCTTAATTACTATAATAGAAGTTACAATCTTCTGTGTACAAAAACTACACAATTATATTCATCGACTCAGCTGTGACGAAAATTTTTGCTTCTTCTGCGTGTGGACGTTTTAAATAGTCACGCCGTAAAAACCTAACCACAAAACTATGTGTAAGAAAAGTACAATAAATAGATTTTTTATTTCACAACTGTATGATTTATCAGTGTAAATAGAATACAGTTTCACATTACGCCTTAGACCAAACTAAAGGAACAACTTGATCAACTCAAATTTACTCCACAAGACATTTTTATTGAGAAAGCGGCAGTCTAGTTCTTCTTATTAAGGGCTGGTTGTACAGAACGTGCAAAAACGAATTAGAAATGTGGTTAATCATCAATAGAAATGAATCGATTCTAAACTGGACATCTTCAATGAGTGGAAAAGGAGAATACATCACATCTCTGTCGCTGTCAGCAGGACCGGGAACATCCCCTAGATGTTCTCGAGACTTGTTCACATAGATGTACATATAACACGATGGTGTTGCACTAATAGTGTGTATTTTATGGAACATTCCCACCTCCACAGGAACACTCTGATTCTGACTAAGTTTAGTTCCAAAGGACTGAGCCGAATGTTCGTCTTCCACTTCGTAAAAAACTTCGCCCTCTAGCACCATCAAAGTTACGTTTCTTAAATCTTCAGTTATAAAATTTTCCAAATAGAGACCTACGATAAAATCACGTGTAATCGATGTTGTGTCAAAAAACCGTTATACCTGGAAAATCTGCAATAAATAAGACATCTGTGTAGTTAGACCACGAGTACACTTCTTGTGTTATATGATTCATTTGGCTTCTGAGGTCGTTATATTCGGTAAGAACTGGTTTCAACCACTCTACCGGTCGAAACGGTGACCAATTAGCCTTCAAGAGATCGTAATTAGGATCGTACATTCTTTGCTGGAATCTACCATTCAAGGAACACCAAACGTCCACATAAATCGATATATTCTCAGAAGTAATGTGCCTAAGACCAACTTCTTTAGAATCTTCGGAGCTAGTCCGAGATTTCTCGTCTATAAACACACACGATTCAAACTTTTGTATTAAACAAACTAAATCACTATACGTTCTAAATCTAGAAGTAGGTTATTTTTCAAACAGTGAGCATACTGTAAACACATGTCCGCATGTTTGGTCCATCTATCATTCTGCGTCCACGCTTCTGGATCCAGAAAAAACTCTTCTCCTGAATTATTGTCGACAACTTTAATCACGACGAGTGCTGTGTTCCAGGAGTGAACCATCATGTCCCAGGAATACCCGTAGAGGCCGTTTGTCCAATTATTGTAGCCCTGTTTACTGTTCTAAGTAAAAGAAGCAAATCAATCTCTCTTACCTCACTTTTGTAATGAAGTGAGAGTAGGGGAGGAAAACTTGAAACCCACAGTGGGTTAGAAGAAGAGCGACAACTAATTTATGTTTCCAGGTGACGTCTCTAGGAAGCTGTAAATCTTTATATTGGTTGATTTCGTCTAGTTTGTAGATGCAAGTGGGATTTGGTTTTGGGTTATAGGTGCCATTGTTGTGGAAAATGTTGAGTAATTTTCTCGGCCAGTTTTCGGCGCAAAATAAAGGCATCGTAGCGAGACACACGTAAGGAAACATTCCTGCAAAAAAAGTGTATATTATTTCAATGTAAATTATAAATGTGTTAGTTAGTTCTCCTACCTATACTAAAAAGTCTCGAATTCATTAAATGAAAACATGCACAAAATATCATCGCTATAGGTCTTGTGATTTCAATCAACATCCAAAATCCGACAGTCAGATCTAGAATGAACCCAAACCAATGAACTACTAGATAATCTATTTGGTCGCTTGTTAGAATTATTCTAGAAAGCATTTAATCTTAGTAGACTAGAACGGAAGACTTTAATGGATTACTTGAACGGAGCAAACACCCAGTGACTTCCTAGATCCGTCATGGAATAGCCTTCTATCCATTCCGTGTCAGTCTTTTTCAAACCCGCTAAAAAGTACAACAGAAAAAATTGAAATTTCAAAATAAAATAATTCCAATACGGTACATCTCTATTTTTCTTTTTTTCGTCTAGAAGACTATCCACTGAGCTACAATCCCAAATGTTAATTATCGTCACTTTTCATTTAAAAATTTTGTTACAAATAGTTGTTTGCCGAGGAGCCGGCTAGAAGAATTGTTACGATTCCGTAAAGATAACTGTGATTGTTCCAGAATGATTTATCTAGGAGTAGAAGATACCAGTATGGTATACCAAATAAAAGAGTGCTTAATCTAAATTTATATCCTAACATGATTCCACAAGCTCCTGCAACGTTGAAGTTAGTGTTGGATAATACGGTTATCGTTAATCGGTACCAAACCACATTAATCCATACAGTAGTGCCATATGTGGAAAAGCTAGAGGCTGCATTATTGGAAATAAGGGGAAATGGCAGTCGCGGGGTTCCCCCCATCTTATATCTATTTCAGAGCCACCGCGTTCTTCAGGGAGGTCTACCAACATCAGTAGCCCTAAAATAGAAAATAGATTAGATATTACATAGAAGTCACTATGTTTAAGTAAATTTTCAAAACTAACCATTACAAATAAAGTTTTTATGTGATGGTGGTGTGTAATATAAATTTGTCTATACTCTATTTGTGGAAACATTTTTTAAAGCTAAACTCTTAAGGCCAGTCCCTGCATTTGGCTCTAATAGGATTTTTAATTCACTTCTAGAATGTCGTTTCTCCATTATTAATACACTTACTGTTATGGCATTTTAAATATAACCTGTCCATAACTTTCTCTGCCCACAATACGAACAGTTTTTTTTTAATTGTATATCATCGCCTTTAAACCAATTTTGGTGAACTTTTTCATCACACATATTTAAAATTCAATACATACCTCAATTATTGCTGGAAATTTCGGAACGCGGTTATCACCAAAGTTTTCAATTCACAGAACTGTGTAAAATCGCGGACTTTTTTGTTGGAAATGAGATAAATCAGATTAGGTCTCATGAGGCAATTAAAAATATGCATACAAAAATTATATATTTTTGTATGCATTTTTTTTTTTTATATTGTGCGTTACTTAAATTTTAATTTTCCATTTAAATAGGTACAAAATCATAATATGTTTAACCCTATAATTAATGTACCGTACGAGATAATAATTACATTGTTATGTATCAACTATGTACTTTTAAAAGTTGTGAAACTGCCGAATTAAATGTATAAATTCTTGTACCTGTTGTTAGTTCTATTGTAAACAAATATATTGTGAATTATCGTTTTTGGAACCGTTTTAATTGAGTTTATGGGCTCAACGTTTCGCACACTTTCGTAAGTGGCATTTTCAGGAACAGGGTTAAGAATAAGGCAAAAGAGCACGGTAATTCAATATGTAAACCATACCAAAGGCGAAACTCTTTTTGAAACGTTGAGCCCAAAAACTCAATTAACACGGTTCCAACCCGGAAAACGATCATGTATTGATTCCGACCGTGAAAGCCTTCGAAATTATTAAACATATTGTGGTGTCCTGATTCTGAAAATTTAAATTTCGCGCTGAAAATAAGAACGCCACCAAACCTCATTTAATTAAAAAATATTTCAATAACATAAGCAATCATCCATCGTGTAGCGTTTAGGGAATTAGGGAAGACATCCCTGTTAGGTTGGTAATTTAGGGGTTGGTAATGCGGCAGGTAGATTTTTGGAAAGTCATTCTCTATGTGTGGATTAGTGTACACGTGTGCAAAAAAAGTTCGATTTAGTTTGTAATTTCACGAAAGGGTAATTCTTTAAACAAAAACTTTGTTACACACTGAATTTGAACATTTATTTTCAAATAATTATTTTGAATTTGATCATATTAAATACTGTGTTTATTTCATGTGCGTTTTAAGAACGTAACGGAGAGTTAATCCGCCATTTTCTAGACACCTGGTATAGATAATTTTATAGGATTCCACACTCCTGCATGTGTGATTCATGAATCCGTGTCGAATTTTCACCTTAAGACATCCAAATTTTTGGGGAAAGAATCAAAATTGTATAACAACATTTTACAATTTAACTTTGAAATTGTAAAACCGGATGTTCTGAGAACTTGTAAGCCTTTTAAAACTATCGTAAGCATGGTAAATCGTTAATTTTCGTTTATCGTTTTCTAAATCTTTTAGAAGACTTTCAGTATCTGAGGTAGTTGTTGATGATTTGAGACGACTAGAGCAGAATCCGAAAACATGTTTGTCAAGATTGTCTCCGCAGTGAGGAGTTCCTGTTGCAACATGAAATTAAACAATGAGTCCAAAGCATTAACGAAAGAATGTTACAGAATACTTTTTGAAAATAAAAAAAACGGAGTGAACATGTACCTTGAGAAAATGGTGAACATTTTCAACATTTACTGTGGTGTTTAACTACAATAAATTTGTTTATTTTTATTGTAAACTTTATTTTTTAATAACATAGGATATGAAGCTTTTAGGCAACCAGTTATACAGATGCACGTGGTATTTCTCGAGCGTCCTTGGGTATTTAGTAAATTACACATAAAGTGACAGGCGGTACACTTCCATGACGTACTTCGACCCTATAATAATTTATACAACCTTTAGCTGTCAGTAAAGTAAAATCATCGAGAAACTTAAACTTTGCTCGTTTACAACGTCATCTGTAATTTGTGATTAAATTTGTAAGGTTCAAATACATATTTGTACCGATTTCATTTTTGGAAGGCTAGAGAGAGTTTTTGCAGCTGCATTCCAAATTTTCCCTCTTCATGTTTGCCCTCCATATTTATTTCCGAACTTGAGGTTCACCACTTGCATTTGAATGCAATTCACCTCAAAAACTACACAGCGTAGGGTTCTATTTTATTAGAAGTTCAAAGTTCAAAGCCAAATTTGCAAGTTTCGCTGGTTTTAAAATTTTGTACTCATGTCTCATTTTGGCGGGATGTCAACATTAAACTCTTATAGATGAACTTGTTGAATTGTTAATTTGTTGTAGGAATTGCGTACAAAAAGTCTTTTAGTTTCACTTAAGGTTTGCGTTTCCTCCTATTACTCCTCCCTGCCTCATTCTTATTTGCTCTTTCTGTTCCTTCTTTTGTAGCTTTCATCTCTCGCTTTTCTTCTCGTCTCTTTTCCTCTCTTCCTCCCATCTTTTCTGGCTTTCATGGTTCTTTTCCCTTCTCTCTGTTTCTCCTCCTGTTATTCGTCTCTTCTCACTACTTCAACCCTTTCTTCTTGTGCCTTCATATAAGTCTACGCTTGTATATGTGGCGTTCTCTCAATTTGTCTCCCCACTTTTTTCCATTCTCTCTATCGCTATATTATGTTCTGACCCTTTCTCACTTTTTCCTCTTATTCACTCACTCTTTCCTTCCTCATTCCTCCCTCTATACTCCCCCAGCTTTCTCTTTTCTTCACCTCTCTCTTTGTCTCTTCTTTTCCGTTTTTTTTGTTTTCTTATTCACTCTTCTTTTTCTCTCCCTGCCCATTCTCTGTTTTTCCTCCCATTACTTCCGTTTTACCGTCCTCTTTCTTTCTGCTTTCTTCCATTCTCTTTTCACTATCTTTGCCAATTCATCGTTATCTTCTTGTTACTTCTCACTTCCGCCTTTTTATTTTCTCTTTCTGTTCCCGTTTCCTGGTTTTTTCGTTCTCTTTGTTTCTCCTCCGTCTACTTTTGCCCCTACTGACTCCTTTCTTTCTACCCCTTTGATTCTATACCTCTCTACCATTCTCTATGTCCAGTTTTGTCAATTTCTCTCCTATACCCCCACCTCTTCTCGAGTTTTCCCACCTCTGTATATTTTCTGGCTCTCTCTTTCACACTCTTTCTCCTCTTCCCCCAGTTTTTCTTTCCTCTCTTTTCCGTCTACATTCTCTCGTCTTTTCTGCGTTTGTTCGTTATTTTTCCCTTCCTTCGCCCTATTATTTTCTCTTTCTGCCTGGTTTTCTCTACGTTTTTTATCTCTCTTTCCCCTTGTTCCATCTGTCTTTTCCGCTTTCACTGGTTCTTTTCCCTTCTTTTTGTTTCTTCTCCTATTACTCCTAGCTTTCTGCCCCTTTCTCTCTATACCACTATTCTTCTCTGTGTGCCCTTCTCTTCACTTCTCTGCCGCACCCCCATTCTCTCTATTCCCTGTTCTCTTAGAATTCAATTTTTTTATGAAATCTTCAAAATTGTCATATTTCAAGGGGCGATTCCGAAAAAATGGTAAGATTCATCGAAAAAACCAAGGCAAAAATAACTTCTAGAGATCGAAATCTATAAGAAAATGTTCATAAAGGAGTTTTGGAAATTTCGAAATTTTTGAAAAAGTTGTCTAAAAATCCGAAAAAATTCTGATATGTAGATCTCGACGTGCTTATTCGAAAAATACGCACACAAAATCCAAATTTTGACATTTAGTAAAATCAACTTTGAGTGGTTGGTACAGTTGGTAGTTCCATGTGATGAGTAAAGTATTGTTTTGTTTCTTCTTTTATTTGTTAACTTTAGAACTCTCGTTAATTTTTGAATTTTTTACGTTGAATATTAAGAGTTTGTTTTCAACAAAATGATTTACATTAATTGCTTCAACGGTTTAACAGATTTGCTGAAGATCCTAATAAGACAATAATATTATTAATAATCAACAGTAAAAGTAGTCACCAGAATGAAGAGGGGGTTTAAAATAGCTTCATAGGTAGTAAAACGTCGTATTATTTGCTTAATCTTAGAATAAAAACTTAAATAAGTATAGCAACTTAAAAAAGTCAAGTAAATTTTACTGGTACTACTTTTATATTCTATCTATCTTATTAAATTGTTATTTTTGTATCTTATGCCCACTACGCAACTGAAACAACCAATCGTGACTGGCCATCACTAAATCAGTTCACGAGGAAATCGCAACAAAAAGACGAAAAACAAATCCCCAGAATATAAAAACAAAATTCGCAAATGTGCAAATCTTAATTACTTAATGTCGCATGTCCTAATCTGTACATAATACCATTCAAACAGATAATCATACTCGACCACCAATCCCCAAACGTAAAAACAAAATTCGCATATTCGCAAATTTCAAATATCATTGCGCTTGTCAGACATTGCGAACAACATGCGCAGAACTGTACATGCATAAAAACGGCCAATCGCAATTACTTTTATCCGAATTCATACCCAAACTAAAGCAGCAGCAGGGAAACCCAGACACACAAAAAACAGATCAAAGAACGCCGCCTTTACTAACCGATAAATTTACAACACCGAACTCGCGTAAATCCTACTCGACTAAACTAACCCTTATAAAACAGGAAAATAAGACCTAAAAGTCGCGTTCCGAGCACCTCATAACTAGAGTTTTTTATCGCTCACTAACGTCGCGAGAGACAAAATAAATGGGCAAAAATGCCTATAAAAGCAATAGCGCAGAAAGCCATTTTCATTCAAGTTCCAAGTTGCCGTGGGGCACGCTGTCTGTTTGCTTGTCGATTTTCCAACTATTTTTGGCTGAATTTTAAAGAAATCTGGACTTAGAAAAATTTGCTGAGACCGAGAAGAAAAATTTCCACTGCATCCGTGTAGGTTTACCATCTTAAGTATAAGGAAATGAGCGTACACCCAAATGTAGTGTCCAAATGTTCGGCCGCGGTCAAAAACCATTTGGTCACGACGCAGTAACCAGAAGAACCACTTATGACAACACTTCGTGATTTCTCACTCGAGATTTATTTAGTAGTTCATTTATAGCATTTAAAGTGATCTTAAACGTCCATTTTGGAAGAAAGGACCTTGAAATTTCCATCAGTCAAATTTTATCTCCTCGTGGACTTGAAAAGCAGGGGGGATTGAATAGTTTCTTTCAGGTCTAAATATTCTCTTGAAGGTCTATTATGATTTTGAGCGTGAATAATGTTTTATGTATGTGATATGGGATCTAGGTCCACAAGGAAATCTGCGAACACATTTTGATTCAATCATTAATTCGAATTAATTTAATCCCATATAAGTAAATTCTTTGTTATTAAGAATCATTGATAAAGTGTGGTTCAATTTCACATCATGTAAATTCTTTATTCGTTGAAATTCTTGATGGTGTGTGACGTAATTAATTTAAGCAACTAATTTTAATGTTCATTCAGTCATCGTTTTATCTTCGAAGGTAAAATTTGAACTTAACTAAAATAAAAAGGCACAACTTAACGTGGCGAAAGCTGAACACACGGTCTTCAGTTAAAGTTTGCGGTTTTGTCATTCCTTGGATATGTAGATGTTGAAATTGAAACCTCATGTGGGTAAAGAGTATAATACGCGGCAGGTTTTTGGGAATATAAATGTGGAGTATGTGTCATATCTGTCTATAAAATAGAATCATTGAAGAAGGGTGTGTATGTGCTTTGTGTGTTTTAATTTTTGGAAACTGAGGTATTTACGTTGATTCATATCACCTGATTTGGGGAGGAATAAGTCCTCCTACTTAACAGCTGGGCTTACTTTACAATTGCTTTTGCGTCACCAGAATGGAGGAATAAACAATTTTTGTGTATCCTATTTTGTGTTTGATTTAGGGGTGTCTTTTCAACCTTGAGGTTCACCACTTGAACGCATTACATCACAAAAAAACACACAACCTAAGGTTCCATTTTGTTGATGATCAGAGTTCAAGACCAAATTTTGAATTTATCGTGGTGTTATAATATATTATACAATACTGGATCCAAAACTGACCCTTGAATAATACCACTAATTGTCAATTGTGTTGAAATTTACAATCCAAATGAATGTTTTTTGAGAGAAATATTATCGAGAGCAATATTGCTGAAGTTGACACACTTGTGACAGCAACTCTCGGAGAATTCAGGTGATCTCTCTCAAATTACTCATTTTATATACTTTTTCTCCATGTTTCGATTTTCTTTTTGTTATTTTTAAAAAATAAATCACTGTAAATAATTACAACAACGTAAACCATCAAATTAATTTTTATTTTTTGATAATGTGAGTTATAAAAATTAGTTTATCAACCTGAAGTGAACGCATTGACTTGCAGTTTCCCAGCGTTAATATTTCCATCGTTTTACTTGCAAGAGGAATTAATAAAAAGCTCATAAAATTATAAATCCTTTAAAAACTACCAGATAGTGAAAGTGTCCCGAAATATCCTCCAAAATGGACAAGAGCTTGAGAGTAACTATCGAGAGTTTTGACGAGAGTTACTCTCAAGTACTTTAACACACACTGAAAAATGCTGTGGCGCAATTTTGTCGGTTTTCTATTCGCCAAGAAAAAATTTAAGTAGGATGATCAGGCAACTTCTGGGTTGCGTTTGACTACTTACACGACATTCCTAAAATGCCTACAATTTGACGAGAGACGGAAATGGAAGACCTGCTATTTTGAAGTCTCGGGATAATGAAATATCGAGAAAACACATTAGTCATCATTGTCGCATAAAACAGTAAATGAAGTGAAAGATATTACTGTGCTATTCGTAGAACTAATTGTGCTTAATCTAAGTAGTCAAGTTCTTGATTTTATTATTTAGCGGAATAGTAAAACACTTCGTGCATAAACAACATTAGTCTAAATTGTAGACAATTAGTTTTTAATTTTTTCGCTTGAACAAACATCGCATTTAGCATATTTAATTCCACATTAAGCAATTTTTAAAGAAACTACAACATGCTGATTTGACCTGGTGATTACGGTTGACCGCTTTCTGGCACTTCCAAGAACCAACACAAACTAAACACATCTAGGAATTACTTACCAAACAAAAATCTAATTACGCCCAGACTGGATGGATCCGTGGGTCGATACATATACCTGACCACCTTTTCATAAGCACCATTTTCGATCAGTTCTTTGAATTTAAAATTCCGATATGTCGTAATTCCAAACAAACGAGACTCTTCCTTTTTTATCCCATCATTTAAATTTCTTTCACTTTCTCTCTCCATCGTTCGTATTTATTCTGAAAGAAGCCGTCAAGTATTTTCCCACGCAAACTTTGCTCATTTATTTCGTTGCCGTGAAAAGTTACAAAGTTATAAATAGAAAACAAAGTCAAGAAGTCAATAAGTCGAGAGCATCCTAATACGATGCGTGATAATTTTTATCTAGTGCATACGTCATTAATTTCGATTACGAACAGTGACATAAATTGTCTGGATCTATTACTGTCTATTACAAGCGTTAGATTAAATAAAGGAATCACGTTGGTACTCACGTGCAATCACAGACCTTCCACCTTCCAGACTCGTCTGGAAATGTCGGGAATCAGCTGGATACTCGCCCTATATCAGATTTCGTCGCCGTGGCAACCGCAACGCTTCATCTTCAAGAATCAGAAAACCTCCACCAATCAATACGTAACACTTAACAGTTGACTTAAAAAAAAGCTGGATCGTGAGATATGTCAAATCAGAAAAGGAAAAATTGAAAAACGTACTAGACAATGACACGCTTTTAACCCTAGCACTATTTATAACGCAATTTTTTTATTATTTGGTCTAGTGTTGCCGAATGGAAGACTAAACTGCTTTGACGTAGCGCAAACAAGGCTATAACTCGAGAATACATGAATAAGAAACTGACATCAACCCACATCTCTTATGGTTTCTTATAGACAGGAGAGTTTTATGTCTCAATTAGTAGGTGGGATGTTTATAGCAAGTGATATTAGAGTGAAAAGCTATTTCGAAAGACCTAAATAATGGCACGAAGGAAATAATAGGCGACATTTCAATAACAACGTAATTTATTACACATGAATAAAAATCCATTTTAACAAAGGGTATTGTTTTGGCACTTACTACAATAAAAAGCAAAATATAAATATTAAAATAACTCGATAAAATAATTATATACAGATATGTGTATTATAACTTTCAAGAATTTGCCAATATCCCTGAGGAACTGCTGCAGACTACAAAAATATTGGCTCTAATATCCAAAAGTTACAACAAATAAATATAACCTTAAAATCTATATCCAAATAATACTGCTATTTCCGAAAATAAGCTTAAGAGTAAAAATACTAACAAATACAAATATAATGTATTAAAAAGTAAAGGTACAATGAAGTTTTCTGATAATGCAACGGGAGTGGGGAAAAACGTATGGCAAAAATGGGTTCATTATACCTCGTACTGTCATTCTAATATCTGAACTTAAAAAGATAAAACAATAACAGGATTCTGCATAATTATCAACAGTGTCAAGTGCGAATGTAGAAACCTTCATAAAATACTTTATTTTTTATTGTTAATAAATAAATAGTACATTGTAGTATTATCCATTATTGTGTGAATATTGCCACCATTTTTATTATGTAAATGATAAAAAAATATCAGAAAGATTATGTTGTCTGACACTTGGCGTAATGGCGTAGTTATTATCCGCGGTAAAATTTTGCCATTTAAACTACAATATATTATAGTAATTTCTAATTGAACTTTTCTGACTAATCAACAATAGGCGAAATTTTTGTTAGCATTCAATAGTATCGTTCTCACTTATGTTTTTTTTTCTAATATTCTCACTCAAAGAAATATAATTTAATTACTATTGTACTGATTGGACCCTTCTCGGTCCGCTTACATTTACAAGGTGAGTCAATTAGAGATTCAAAAAGTAAAAATAAAGTAATAATTTTAGTTGAGTGCTTATTGACTCACCCTGTACATGTTTCCTGTGGTGACTCTTGAATTGCTTGCCAAGTATGCGAAATCTTTCAAAATTAATTCTCAACAATTAAAAATAACGATTTTTAATAATCAAAAAATGTTTATAAAACATATATGAACGTATTCAAGGTAGCAATTATTGCTAATTTACAGCAACTAAGAGTAAATTGCTTCATAATATTTTAAAACATTGGCTCTACTTTCAACGTTATTTAAAAAGAAAATTCTGGAAGAATATATAAGAATTTATTTCCAAAATTCCGATTTTCATTACCCTAAAATTTTAGTAGTGAGTGTTACTTAATTCAAAAAACCATGACTTAAGCTCCTGTAAGCGTAAAAAACAATTTAATCGTCTTACCAAACATGACAATTCATTTATAGAAGATATACAGACAAATAAATATCTATCTCATTAATCTACTCCTAGATTATTATTTTCTATCGAAATAATATCTTTACGTAATAATTGACATGTTTTAATTTATCACAACAATGGTGTTTCATTTCAACTTTAAATTACATGACGCCTGACAAAAACGTGACGTGATACAATCCGCCATCTTCTCGACACTACAAAACTCAAATTTTCTACACACTTTTTTCTCTACGTATCTACTTTCCTATACTTTATTGTCAGACAATCTAAAATAAATCCCAAACTATGTATTTAAATAATAAATAAAATCTATAGGCAAAAATCAATGGCGAGAATAGTTGGTACATAAAACAATGGCTAAGGTCGACTTACAACAACAGGATTGTCATAAAATTATTTTAACAATTTTCATAAGTACTAATTAATATCCGCACCGATTCATCACATATCAATTAACTTTAAAAATAGGGCAACGTTAAAAAGGTAACAATATTTTAACGGGATTTACTGGATTGCACATTACGTTAGGTTTCTAAAATATACATTATATTTTATTTTACATTAGTTGTTATTCTTACCTTGTTTACGTAACAATGTTAGGCTACTTTGAGGGTCGGCAAGAGAATACGTTTCTGGTTCGAATACCGGGGGGTATTCTAAACCCGGGTAATCGGCATGTGGGCTCATACTCATCGATAAGGGTTCAGCTGAGGACGGTGGAGAGTTTTCTAGCGAGTATGAGCTCTGGGACAAAGACACAGACTGAAACGAAGACCATAAAAAATGTAGCGTTTCAAGTTAAAGTTACGACAAATTAAGCATAATTAGTAATAATTTAAGGCTGTTTGGAAGGTTCTCATATTTAAGTATTCATAAATTATTCATACATCCAGGTGGGCACTTTATTTTTCAGTTGTCGATGGTGCAAACTCGATACGTTACCCCATTGATGGTAGGAATGATTAGCCAAATTTTGGTTAGCGTTTTACCACCGAAATCCTAAAATACATACAAAATGTGGCAACAATCGGTCCGGTAGTTTCGGAGATTATCTGTCCAATTAAAATCGACACAGACGGACAGACGGAAAGTGTCAAATTTTATTCTAAACACGAATTTATTTTGGATCATACTAAAATTTGAAAATTTAATAGTTGACAGTCCAACACTAAAATCTGTTAGGTTTAATATTAAATACAATCAGAAGTATCAGCTGCTTGAACATATTCTAATTAAAAAAAAATTGAAAAATCGATAAAAATAAAAAAAATTTAAATATAAAAAACAGAAGTAGTTTTTAGAAATCGCGAAATCGAAATGGAAAGAAAAAAAACAAAACATAAATAACGAAAAACTGAGAAATCGAAAAACAAGAAAATCGGTAAATCGAAAATTTGAAAACTGACGAAGCGAAAAAATCAAAAATCTCAAGACTGAAATATGTATCAAAAAATTGATAAGACGATTATTCGAAAAATTGAAAAATCCAGAAAGAAAAATCGAAAATTAAAAAAAAAATGAAGAATCAGAAAGTTGAAAAATGGAAAAATTGAAAACCAGAAACATCGAGAAATGTGAAAGTCATAAAATCGAAAAATCTAAAAGTCGAAAAATATAAAAATCTAACATTTAAAAAACCGAAAAATGAAAATATCGACAATCTGAAAAATCGAGAAATCGAAAAAGCAAAAAACCGAAACAAAAAATCCAAAATTTGAAGAACTGAAAAACTGAAAAATCGAAAAATTTAAAAATTCTGAAACTGAAACATCGAAATATTGAAAAAATCTCTAACCTGAAATATGCAACAATTGACAAATCGAAGAACTGAAAAATCGAGAAATCGTGAAGTAAAAAATTGAAAAACAGAAAGTCCAAAAAATTCAGAAAACGAAAGCCCGAAAAACTAAAAACTGAAAAGCGAGAAATCGAGAAATAGGAAAATTAAAATATCGGAAGATCTAAATATCAAAAACCTAAAACTTGAAAAATCGAAAAATCGATTAATCCAGAAATCGAAAAACCGAATATTTAAACAAGTCAGAAATTGAAATATGGAAAATTAAAAAGAAAAAAAACTGAGAAACTGAAAATTTTAAAAATCGAGAAACTGAACTCACGAAAAATTGAAAAATAGAGAAATCGAAAAGTCGAAAAATGGTCAATTCGAAAAATCGAAAAAGCAAAAATTTAAAAAATTGAAAAATCAAAAACCTGGAAAATCGAAGAATCGGGGAGTCGAAAAATTGAAAGATCGTAAAGCTGAAGTATCGAAAAATTTACAAATCGAAAAATAACAAAAAACGAGAAATCGAAAATTCGAAAAATCGACGACTGATGGAGCGAAAACTTAAAAAATCGGAGAAAAATTGAAAACTCCAAAAATTTAAAACTCCAAAAATGCAATATCGAAATATTGAAAAATTCCAAACCTGAAATCTGAAAAAAATTGATGAATCGAAAAATTGAAAAATCGTAAAATCAAAGTCGAAAAATCGAAAAACCGGAAGTTTAAAAAAATCAAAAATCGAAAGCCTGAAAAATTGAAAAACTGAAAAGCAAAACATCGAGAAGTCGAAAAACCGAGAATAGGAAAATTAAAAAACGGAAGCTCTAAATGTCGAAAAATCTAGAACTTAAAAAATCGAAAAATCGATTAATCGAGAAATCAAAAAATCGAAAATTTAGAAAAACCAGAAATTGAAAAAATGTAAAATTGAAATATCGGAAAATTGGGAAATCAAAAATGTGAAAAATCGAGCAATCGAAGAATCGAAAAATGGCCAAATCAACAAATCTAAAAGTCGAAAAATTGTGAAATCCGTAAGTTGAAAAATTGTAAAACTGAAATATCGGAAAATTGAGACATCGAAAAATAACAAAAATCGAGAAATTGGAAATTTCAAAAATCGAAGAATTGATGGAGTGAAAAATTGAAAAATCAAAAAAATTGAAGAATTCCAAAAATGAAAATGGAAATATTGAAAAATCTCTAACCTGAAATATGCAATAATTGATAAATCGAGAAATCGAAAAGTCGTCGACAAATTGTCAAGTCGAAAAATCGAAAAACCGAAAGACCATAAATTTCAAAAAACGAAAGCCTGAATAATTGAAAACTGAAAAGCGAGAAATCGAAAAATCGAGAAATAGGAAAATTAAAATATCGGAAGATCTAAATGTCCAAAAATCTAAAAGTTACAGCAGTAAACATTAAAAATAAAAAACCGAGAAACTGAAAATCTGAAAAATCGAGAAACTCAAATAACGACAAATTGAAAAATCGGGAAATCCAAAAGTCGAAAAATCGTGAATTCGAAAAATCGAAAAAGCAAAAAATTGAAAAATCAAAAACTTGAACAATCGAAGAATCGAGGAGTCGAAAAATAGAAAAATGAGCAAATCAAAAAATCGCAAAACCTAAAAGTCGAAAAATTGAAAAATCGTAAACCTGAAGTATCGGAAAAGTGAGAAATTGAAAAAGAACAAAAAACCAAAAATCGAAAATTTGAAAAATCCATGAACTGATGGAGCGAAAAATTGAAAAATCGGAGAAAAATTGAAAAATCGAAAAATTGAAACATTCTAAACCTGAAATCTGGAAAAATCGATAAATCGAAGAATTGAAAAATCGAAAAACCGAAAGTTTAAATAATTCAGAAATCAAAGGAAAAACTGAAAAGCAAGAAATCGAGAAGTCGAAAAATCGAGAATTAGAAAAATTAAAAAATCGGAATCTCTAAATGTCGAAAAATCTAGAAGAAAAGCCATTGAAAAAATATAAAATCGAAATATCGCAAAATTAAAAATAAAAAAAAAAACGTGAAACTGAAAATTTAAAAAGGCGAGGAACTGCAATAACGTAAAATTCAAAAATTTAGAAATCGAAAAGTCTAAAAATCGTCTAATTCGCAAAATCGAAAAAGCAAAAATTTAAAAAATTGAAAAATCAAAAACCTGAAAAATCGAAAAAACAAGGAGTCGAAAAATAGAAAAATCGTAAAACTGAAGTATCGGAAAATTGAGAAATTGAAAAATAACAAAAAACGAGAAATCGAAAATTTGAAAAATCGAAGAATTGAAAAACTCCAAAAAGGAAATATCGAAATATTGAAAAATTTCACCTGAAATCTGTAAAAAATTGATAAATCGAAGAATTGAAAAATTGAAAAACCGAAAGTTTAAATAATTCAGAAATCAAAAGCCTGAAAGGTTGAAAAACTGAAAAGCAAGAAATCGAGAAGTCGAAAAATCGAGAATTAGGAAAATTAAAAATAAAAAAAACGAGAAACTGAAAATTTGAAAAGTCGAGAAACTGCAATAACGTAAAATTGAGAAATCGAAAAGTCGAAAAATCGTCCAATTCGAAAAATCGAAAAAGGAAAAATTTTAAAAATTGAAAAATCAAAAACCTGAAAAATCGAGAAAACAAGGAGTCGAAAAAGAGATAAATCGTAAAACTGAAGTATTGGATAATTGAGAAATTGAAAAATAATAAAAATCAAGAAATCGAAAATTTGAAAAATCGAAGAATTGAAAAACTCCAAAAATTAAATATAGAAATTCTGAAAAATTCCAAACCTGAAATCTGGAAAAAAAATTGATAAATCGAAGAATCGAAAAACCGAAAGTTTAAAACATTCAGAAATCAAAAACATGAAAAATTGAAAAACTGAAAAGTGAGAAATCGAGAAGTCGAAAAATCGAGAATTAGGAAAATTAAAAAATTGGAAGCTCTAATAATGTCAAAAAATCTAGAAGTTGAAAAATGGAAAATTTAGAGAAACCAGAAATTGAAAAAATGTAAAATTCAAAAAACTGCAAGTCGAAAAATCGGAAAAGCAAACATTAAAAATTTTAGAATCAAAAAACCTGAAAAACCGAAAAATCGACAAATGGGCAAATCCAAAAATTAAAAAGACATGAAATCTAAAAGTCGAAAAATTGAGAAATCCGTAAGTTGAAAAATAGAAAAATAGAAAAATCGTAAAACTGAAATATCGGAAAATCGAAAAATAACAAAAATCTAGAAATAAAAAATTTGAAAAATGGAGGAATTGATGGAGCGAAAAATTGAAAAATCGTAAGAAAACTGAAAAATCAAAAAATCGAAGCATTCTAAAAATGGAACAACGAAATATTGAAAAATCTCTAACCTGAAATATGCAACAATTGATAAATCGAGAAATCAAAAAGTCGGCAAATCGTCAAGTCGGCAAATCGTCAAGTCGAAAACTCGAAAAACCGAAAGTCCAGAAAATTCAAAAAACGAAAGCCTCAAAAATTTAAAACTGAAAAGCGAAAAATCGAGAAATAGGAAAATTAAAATATCGGAAGATCTCAATTTCGAAAAATCTAAGTTGAAAAATCGAAAAATCGGTTAACCGAGAAATCGAAAAATCGAAAATTTAAAAAAGCCATAAATTGAAAAAAAAATGTAAAATTGAAATATCGGAAAATTAAAAATAAAAAAATCGAGACGGAAAATTCGAAAAATCGAGAAACTAATATAACCAAAAGTCGAAAAATAGAGAAATGAGTAAATAAAAAAATAGAAAAACAAAAGCCGTAAAATCGAAAAATTGAAAAATCGAAAAATTGAAAAACTCCAAAAATGAAATATCGAAATATTGAATCATTCCAAACCTAAAATCTGGAAAAACTGATAAATCGAAGAATTGAAAAATCGAGAAATCGAAAAGTCGAAAAACCGTCAAATCGAAAAACCGAAAAGGCAAAATTTAAAAACTGGAAAAATCGAAAAATTGAAAAAGTAAAAAATCGAGAAATAGGAAAATCAAAAACCTGGAAAATTTCATAAACGGAAAAATTTTGATTTAGCATTCTTCCTTTAACCTTAAACCGTTTGCAATATTTCAAAGCATTCAATTTTCCAGTTTCAAGGTAAAACTGCAAAATGTTCTTATACAATTTTGTTTTTTTTTCCCTCAAAAATTTGGATGTTTAGGATAAAAACACAAGACAGATTCATAAACTGCAATTGCAACACTATTTTATTTTTTAAAATTTTAAAAATATTTGCCACTGTAAATTCTGCTGATGACGTCGTCCCCTTCTTGGTGGGGATAATTGCGCAAATTTTGATTATTGTGTTACCATCTACACGATATTTCTAATGCACATATAAAATTTGACCAATTGGTCCAGTAGTTTCGGAGATTATATGTCTAATAAAAATCCGGACAAACCGCAGACAGGCAGAGAGACGGAAACGGGAGATCTATTTTTTCGTACTTTCGTAAAGTCGCCCGATGGACTCGATTAGAATACTTTCTTAGCTTACGCTCAAGAACTAAAAATCCGCAACAACCATTCTCATTCCCAGTTGGTTGGGTCAATTATAATATTGACCTCTCGTAGAGCTTCTCTTTGAGCAGGAACGAAATAAACTTATAGCAAAATTCGCTTGAAGCAGATAGTCAAACATAACCCCATAAGAAGCAACGTGGTCAATGACCGTATCCCACCGAAAACCAACGAATTGCGTTTGTAAAACGAAATAGTGACTTCTATTGCAATACTCCAATTTAACACGGTAATATTTAGACTAACAAGGGAAAGTCTCCCCAGAAGCTTACCAAACATTTTTTTGAGTTTTTAAGAGAACCTTCAATAAAATGAGCTTTTTAGCAAAAATATTAGAAGCACATCAAACAGCCTTACACCACAAATGTTCAAAATTACAGTTGACATTGGTACCTACCTGTGAACCCCGCGAGGGAAAACTTGCCTCAGATCCCGAGTTATTCTTCCTAAAAATCGTCCGATGTAACTTCGGCGACCCTAAAAACGTCTTCTCCTTCTTCCCCTCGCTCTGCTTTCCGAAAATCTGTTTCAACTTCCCCCCCTTCGATCCTCTTTCGTCCAAATTCAACTCAAACGCCAACTTCGGCTTAGTCTTCTGATCTTGCGACAACGGCAAGCACATCGGCGTGTACTGAAGAGCCGACTTCAACTTAACTTTCGACGAATCCGACACCTTATTCGTGTACTTAGCCGCGTCACCTTTCGCCGACTTCTTATCCGACGAACTAAAACTGTGCTGCTTCTTGATTTTGTGGCTTTTCTTCGGAGTATCTTTATACATCCTGTCGTCCAAATTTCGGTTTTGGGCGAACTGAATATCAGTTGTGGTTTCTGGGCAATATATCATTTCGTAGCCGCGGTCACCAGTCAAATTCCTGTCGGAAGCGTAACGATTGGAGCTGTCTGGCTTTTCGGGCAGTTTGTGAGTTCTTGGCAGCGATCGGTTGAGTTTAGTGTCGAAACCCTTCGTGGTTTTGGGGTAGGTTGAAGTGCGACTTTCGTAGTCGTCGTCGACTTTGTGGATCTTTTTTAAAGAACCGAGACGTTTGCCGAAACATGAACTACCGAAGTCTTGTTTTTCGGATTTGTGGGAGTCGGATGCGTTCCGCGTGTGGCCTTTTTTGAACATTTGTTCGGATTTTTCGTGTTTTTCTTCGAGATCTAGTTTTTCTTTTGGTCGAATTGGCACTTCTCCTTTAAAAAGAACGCCAGAATGTATACAGAATGTTACCGGAAGGATCAAAGTCGCGGCGAAGTCTTAACATATGGTTAAAGTTCGCGTAGCAAGTCAACAAATTTTATTAATCACCACCATTAATCTCATTATCATAACTAGCACCACTCTGTAAATATTAAAAAAAAACTGTTAAGGTTCTTTCGACAGAATTTCTCGTCCCTGAAGTACAGCCCAACAAATGAAAAAAAAATAATTTTTCAGTTTTTCAGTTTTCCAATTTTTGAATTTTCAATTTTTTTATTCTTTAACTTTTCATTTCTTCATATCTACGATTTGCACTTTTTCGTTTCGGTTTTTTATTTTCTTTATTTTTACAATTTTTCGATTTATCAGTGTTCCAATTTTATAATTTTTTGTTATTTCAATTTCAATTTTTTGTTTCTTCAACTTTTTTCTTTACGATATGCAACTCTTCGGGTTTTCATTTTTAAATTTCTCAGTGTTTCATTTTTCCAGCGTTCGGATGTTTCTGTTTTTAGGTTTTGCAATTTTTCGTTTACATTTTTATTAAATTTTTCGGTTTTTCATGTCATATTTTTTTAATGTGAAAATTTTCAATTTTTCGATTCTTCAATTTTTGATTTTCAATTCTGCGATTCGATTCGTTTTTCCTTCTTTGCAATTTTTCCATTTTTTTGTTTTCGATTTTTAAGTTTCTCAATTTTTAGTTTTTCAATAGTTCAACCTTTCGATTTTACGATTTCTCGTTTTTTCACTCTTTAATTTTTCAACATTTTCATCAAAAAAAAAAAAAAGAAAAAATCACTATATTTTATAATTGAAAAAACAAAAACGAAATGAAAAAAATAATTTGAAAATACGAGAACTTTTCAATTTTACAAATTTTGGATTTTCCAATTATTCGATTCGTTTTTTCTTCTTATTTTTTTTCGATTTTTAAGTTTCTCGATTTTTAGTTTTTCAATGTTTCAATTTCTAGTTTCTTCAGTTTTTCGATTTGCAATTTTTCGATTTTCGACTTTTTTGATCTTGCAATTTCTTGTTTTTCCAGTTTTCGATTTTTCAATTTTTTTCTTTTTTAATTTTTAGATTTTTCAATTTTTCGAATCAAAAACATGGAAAAATTGCAAAATTGTAAAAGCAAAAATAAAAAAAGGAAAACCATACAATGAAAAGCTTTAAATCTAAAAATTGGAAATTAAAACTTGAAAAACTGAAGAAACGAAAAATTGAAAAATCGAAGATTAAAAATTGAGAAAGGGCAAAATCGAGAAATCAGATAATTGAGAAATTCAAAAATTGCAAAATTGAAACATTTTGAAATTGGAAAATCGAAGAATTGAAAAATGGAAGATTTAAAATATATAAATATGAAAAACTGAATAAACGAAACATACGAAAAATTGTGATCTTAAAATCGAGGTGAAAACTAAATAGTCGGAAAAATAAAAAATCAAAATCAAAAACTTGAACAATTGAGGGAACGAAAATTTTAAAAAACGAAAAATTAAAAAATTTTAAAGTCGGGAAATTCAAAAATTGAAAATATTCAAGTTGAAAAAAGTTTCTCGAGGTTTCAGTTCTTAATTTTTCGGTTTTTTAATTATTCATTACTTCAAATTTTCGATTTTTCAACGTTCCGACTTTAGAATTTTTTCTTTTTTCAATTTAAATTTGTTTGCTTTTTCGGGTCTTCAATTTTTCCATGTGTCATTTTTTTTTCTTCAATTTAACGTCATGCAAGTCTTCAAGTTTTCATTTTTAAATTTTTCAGTTTTTCGATTTTCCAAATTTTGGATGTTTCAATTTTTGATGTCTTCAATTTTTCGATTTTGCAATTTTCCGTTTCGATGTTTTATTTTTTTTATTTTTGCTATTTTTCGGTTTTTCGATGTTCTGATTTTATAAATTTTTTTGCTTTGAATGTGAATTTTTTTAATTTCTGGATTTTTTAATTTTTCTAATTCTCAATTTTAGATTTTTCAGTTTCTCGGTTTTTTATTTTTCGTTTCAATTTTTGATCTGCAATTTTTTAGTTTTCATTTTAAATATGTAATAATGATTATAATAATAAAAAAACAGTTTTTTAATTTGACGATTTTAGCATTTTTTCATTTTTTAATTACTGGATTTTAAAACATTTGCATGTATACGATTTTTAATTTTTGAATTTCTCGATATTCAATTTTTCAATTTTTCGAACTTTCAATGTTACAGTTTTCGACCTTTTTGATTTTGCAATTTCTTGTTTTTTCAGTTTTCTATTTTTCAATTTCTTGGTTTTTTAATTTTTAATTTTTAGATTGTTCAATTTTTCGAATCAAAACCATGGAAAAATTGCAAAATTGTAAAAGTAAAAACGGATTGGAAAATCTAAAAATTGGAAATTAAGAACTTGAAACATTAAAGAAACGAAAAATTGAAATATCGAAGGTTAAAAATTGAGAAAGTCCAAAATCTCGAAATCAGATAATTGAGAAATCCAAAAATTGCAAAATTGAAACATTGAAATTGGAAAATACATATGAAAAACTGAATAAACGCTAAATTATACAATCGAAAAAATAAAGGAAATGAAAAAACGAAAAATACGAAAAATTGTGATCCTAAAATCGAGAAAGTGGAAACTGAAAAGTCGAAAAAATAAAAAATCAAAAACTTGAACAATTGAGAAAACGCAAATTTGAAAAATCGAAAAATTAAAAAATTTGGAGGTCGAAAAATTGAAAATTTTAAAGTTGAAAAAAACAAAAATTATGAAACCGAAGCACAGAAAAATTGAAAAATTCAAAACTTAAAGAAAATGAGGAAAAGTTAAAATTTTTCACTGTTTCAATTTTCCAAGTTTTGAATTTTTAATTTTTTTGATTTTGCAATTTTTCGCTTTAAAATTTCTCGAGTTTTCAATTTTTAATTTTTCAATTTTTCTATGCCTTAATTATTCATTTCTTCAAATTTTCGATTTTTCAATGTTCCGATTTTAGAATTTTTCCTTTTTTCAATTTTTCGATTTTCAATTTTACATTTATTTTTATTTCTTCTACTCTACGACATGCAAGTCTTGGAGGTTTTAATTTAAAAATTTTCAGTTTTTAATGAGTTTTCAATATCTAATTTTTCAATTTGTCATGTCTTCAATTTTTAGATTTGCAATTTTACGTTTCGGTTTTTCAATGTGCTCATTTTATCATTTTTCTCTTTTTTCAAAGTGAAATTTTCGAATTTTTACTAAATTTTTTCATTTTTTAATTATTTGATTTTCAATTCTTCGATTTTTCCACTTTTAGATTTTTTACTCTTTCGTTTTGTCAGTTTTAGATTTTTAAGTTTCTCGATTTTTTAAGTTTTCGTTTCTTCAATTTTTGATTTACAATTTTTCCAGTGTTCATTATAAATATGCAATAATAATTAAAATTAAAAAAAAAACTTTTTCAATTTTACGATTTCAGTTTCGATTTTTAAGTTTCTCGATTTTTCGTTTTTCGTTTCTTCAGTTCTTCGATTTACAATTTTCCGATTTTCCAATTTTTCAATTTTGCAATTTCTCGTTTTTTCAGGTTTCGATTTTTCAAATTTCGAATCAAAAAAATGGAAAAATTGCATAATTGTAAAGCTTTAAAATAATAATAATAATAATAATAATGAAATCAAGTACTTGAAAAATTGAAGAAATTAAAAATTAAAAAATCTAAACAAAAAATTGAGGCACTTAAAAATCGAAAAAACGAAATATTGTAAAATTGAAATATTGAAAATGAAAGATATCGGAAAATCGGATAATTGAGAAATTCAAAAACTGCAAAACTAAAAAATTATAAAATCGAAAGAAAGATTGAAAAAATTAAGCGAATGAAAAATAAAAATCAAGAATAACTTGGAAAATTGAGGAAACAAACAATTGAAAAATCGAAAAATTAAAAACTGAGAAACAGAAAAATTGAAAAATGAGAAATTGTAATATCGAAAAATTGTAAAATTGAAATTACAATTTTTCAATTTTCCAATTTTAGAATTTTTCCGATTTTCAATTATTCAATTTTAAAAATTTTTCATTTATTCAAGTTTTCAATTTTTAATTTTTCCACTTCTTGATATTTAATTATTTAAATTTTCGATCTTTCAATGTTACAGTTTTTCGACTTTACAATTTTGACGATTCTATAATTATTCGATTTTACAATTTTTGGGTTTTCCAATTCCGCGATTCGGCTCGTTTTCGCTTCTTTTCAATTTTTCGATTTATTAATTTTTTTAGATTTTCAAGTTTCTCACTTTTTAGTTTTTCAAAGTTTCAATTTTTCGATATTTCAATTTTTTTATTAAAAAAAAATGGAAAAATTATAATATCGTAAAACTGAAAAAACAAAAACGAAATTACGAAAAAATATAAAGTGAAAACTTTGAAAAATGTAAAAATTGGAAAACTGAGAAGCTGAAAAAATTGCAAGATTGAAAAATGACAAATCGAAAAATTGAAGTTGAGAAATTGAAAAATGGAAAAAATTTAAGTCAAAAAAACGAAAAATTGATATCGAAGAAAAAGAAAAACGAAAAATTGTCAGTTTTTCCATTACAAAATTTCATGATGACGTCATCAACATTTTTGCAAGGACGGTACTGTTTTCCCAAATTTTCGGAAAAATGGAATGTGAGTCGTCTTGATTTAATTAATAAATTGCCTCATTCATTATTTTTTTTAATCATCCTTTATAAGTAATTCTAAAAACTATGAGTGTATTAATAAACCACAAGTATAAAGTCATAATATTTTGAAAATAATAGGAGTATTAGGCAAAATTGTGAAATGATGTCAGTTTTTTGGGAGGAGATAAACCAATAGCACTTTTTTCATATTCTAGAGGTCGTGGCACATCGAGAAAACATGAAAGTGGCAAGTCCACATAGTGGTGCTGGTTGAGATTAATGGTACTAGCTGGTACTAGGTTTAAACTATGTGGAACTAACTTTTCACGGGCATTAAATAATGTCGAGGGATTACCATCAACAAAAGGCTTTTATTTCAATAATTGGATGGTGCTAGCTTTTTGAATGATGGTGCTTCTTTAGAACAACAAGGTACTACTTTTGAGTAAAACTCATTAACTTGGTATTGGCAAGTTGACCGACCCGCATAAACTTACCATACACAACGTCCGGCTTGATCAAATCCAAATTCAACAAAACATCCTCGCCCATATTATACGGATTCGTCTTCCTCTCTTCACTCTGCTTGATCATCAACTGCTCCAAAGTAACGAACCCCGCCAGATTGTCGTTGCCCTCCCTCTTGAACGACTTCTTCGGGAACGCCGGCACGTTGAAATCATTAATATTACACAAACTCGGATTGCTCGCATGCACATAATTCAACGGTTTGACCTTCAACAACTTGGCAGACGCAGACTTATCGTTCTCCTGATTCTTCCCCAAATTCTCGACCGTCAAGTTCGGCACGCTAACGTTCTGCACCGACTGCTGCAACTTCGGTATCTCCGACCTTGGCGCAAAAAACGCGACGTGTGATGTAAAATTTCCGGTGGTAACGCTACCGGGTTGACCATCGCTGGTTTTGATCTTCCTGTAGGATCTGAACTGTGCGGTGGGCACCGGAAGCGAGTTCTTCGAGTGGCTGCTCGATTTGTTGAAAAAGCGCTTCCTGTCGAGGCTCGTGCTGCCGCCAGCAGCGTCGTGCTTCTTCGACGTGAGTTTTTTAAGCGAGCCGAACTTCTTGATGCTTTCGGAGTTTTTCTCGGTTTCTACTTTCTTTGGTTTTTCGCTGTCGGACTCGTCGGTCTCGGAGTAGAGGGAGCCGTCGGTGACTTTTAGGCTGTCGTTGTTGAGGGTGGCGGCGGTGATCATTTCGATCCATGTTTGGAGGGTTTCGGGGTCTTCTGCGGAGAAGTAGAATACTGTTCCGGTGTGATAGACTTTGAAAGCGTTTGAACGCGATTTTACCTGGAAGATGTGAAGTGGGATTATTGTGATGAGTTTGGAGTTGGGATAAAATGAAAGCATACTTCACTGGCAACAGCTACTGTAAATCCAGAGAGAAAAATTAGGCATGCGGCTCGTGGATCTTCTTTCGTTTTGAAGCCGTAGAGGCAGCTTCCTAAGAGAACGAACCATCGTTTTTCCCAGTGGATGTTCTGGTTGTGTTTACTGCGTAGGCGTTGGTACAAGTAACCTTGAGTGTCGGGTGGGTTTAGGTCGTTGACGGTTACTTTTCGACGTTCTACGAAACGAAGAAATTGTCAATTAAACTTACCATTCGTACAAAAAGTGTTTTTTAATAATTCTTATGTTAATGTTATATGGTGAAGTGATAGTCATCAAAGGGAAAATACGATGTGAACATGAATAGTCGAACAATACATTCTATTGGCGGAAATAGAAGAGAAAAAATGTTAAATAATTCATGGACTAAAGGCGTGTACACACGTAACTGTACGCCTAACAAGCTTGAATGTCTGTTTGATAATTTTGCGCAAAAATTAATAACGCTGAATATACAAAAATGTTTATGGAACATTGTTGGTCAATTATGAAGAACAAATTTTCTTGCACCGCTAAGTACATAGATAGATTTTAAAATAATTAAAACACAAGTTGTCACTTGATTTTCTAGGAAGATCTCTGATGTGTTAAATACATCAAGCCCTCCTACAACTTTCTTTTCGAGTTCTCTTCCTGTATTAATTAGTTCGTGTTGGGTTTTCGTAAAGTGAAGTTCAAAAGTGTAAAAGTGTTTTAAAAATAGTTTACCATCTAGTATTTTGTGCCATTTTTAAAATAGAAAACGGCGAATAGTTCTGTAAAGTCTGTGGGACAACTGCAATTATTAAATTATTAATGTTACACAATTTAAATGGGAAAACTAGTTGTGAAATTAATTCTATAAATTCGCATACTAATATCAATTTTTAAAAAATAAATAAATAAAATGTGTAGATTTCATGCTGAAAGAAGTGTCATGTCAACATGAAAATACTGACATGCACAAAACAAACCTTACTAAAGATACCAGGCAAACTTTAAATTCCTCAATTCATAATGAAGACCATAAGAACAATTTTTAATTTGAATTATGCAGTGCATTTATATTGGCAAATACGTATACCTTTGAAGAAACTTAAAGACAAAACGTTGCGCTTATTCTTGGAGAGAAATTGCAACAATAATATTCCTGAAGAATCAACTTTAAGAAAGAATTACTTAAATTTACGATGACGAAAGTATTGTGTGACTTCATAGAAACTTAAGATTGGGAACATCCTAATTTTTGCTATTTACCCTATTTAGTTATTTTACATTGTATTTTTGTAGGTGATTAATAGAGTTAGAACAGATATTGGGGTTCACGATATTCGGATAGCAGTAGATGAAACTACAAATTCTAATGGGCAATACGTTGCAAACATTGTATGGGAAAATTATCTTTAGAAGCAGCTGGTACATCACATTTACTGGCATCGAAAATGTTGGAAAAAAACAATAATGTAACAGTGGCACGCTTTATCAATAAGTCGTTAGGTAATTATGAAAATACTTTATCCCAACTTAATTCATGTAACATGTTTGGGTTTACGCCTTAAGTATAGTAGCTGAAATTATCCGAAATCAATATGAAGATGTCAATGGTTTGATTTCCAACATAAAGAAAGTATTTCTTAAAGCCCATTTGAGGATCCAAGCCTTCCGGGAAGCTTACCGGCTCCAGAACCTGATCTGAGAAGATGGGGTTCTTGGATTGCAGCGGCAATATATTATTGCGATCATTTTGAGGATATAAAAAAAGTTCGTTTATTGCCATTCATAATTTTCTTGTGTAATTCTAAATTAAATGGAACATTTTAGGTTATCATGGAATTTGACCCACAGTGTCGGTGGTCGCAAAAGTTGAATTTGCTACCTCTAAATGAGTCGACATTTGCATGCGTCATGGCTGCTAGTGAAAAAAAGTATTTTGCAGTTAAGCCCCCAGTTCATAGCGAATAAAAAATCAGGATCTGATTTCAACTCAGCACCTTCGAAGATAAGTTAACCCATGATTAAAAACTGAACCAAACGTCAACCTCCGTTATAACCTCACATATCATTGATAAATTGACATTTGACAGCTTTCGAAATTATCAGAAGAGCGTTTCAGGCACGTGGCTGGTGCGCAAAGCAAACGAAAAATCATCCACCGGAATAGCATACCATGTCTTCTTGTACCATGATTTTAACCACGTTTTAAGTTTCTTGTTGTGAAAAGATGGCTATGTATATTAAGAAAAAAAAAGTAAAATATAAGCTCCGCCCACCCGCCCTATCTCAATTCTGATGATTATTTTTATTCGTCGTAAACCGAGGGCGGAGCTTAATTGTAAAATCCTTATTTTTCTACGAGAAATTACCATGTGAAATATGTTATGGAATTAGTGCTGCCTACCAGAAAAATGTCCCCCCTACTTCTGGGGATTTTTCTTCGACTAGGCAGCACTGCATTCAACCGCAATTTGATTGGTTGAAAACCCAACGTCAACGGCAACGTAGCGGCGAAAGTTAAAAGTTGGTCATCTCAAACGTCACACCAACGGCGTGCCAACTTTCAACGGCAATGTCAGCGGCAAGTTTATAAATCGACCTTTATTAGCCAGTGGCGCGAATAAAACGTGGATCAGCGTTAATTTCACTTTGTGTCTTTTGATAACAAAACAAGGGTTTGTTTAAATCTTTAGGCCCTCGGAAACACTTTCAATTTTTTGTCGATGTATTTCAAAAACACCTGTATGTATTGTAGTATGAAAAACATTTGTGTTTTTTATGTATGAAAGGCTGTTTCCGTTCAGCTGACTAACAGAATGTCACCAAATCCATTTTTGATTTTTTTGTTCAGGGTTCGAGCTATAATGAGTGATTCACCTTTAGAATTGGGCAGGTTTTAAATATACAATTAGCTCAATAATTAAATATATAGGATATTTTTAAATTACATGGAAAGAAAAAATCTGGTGAATTTAGGCATTCTAAGAAGGAAATAAAGGTATGTTACCGTAAAGTTTTTCGCACAAATATTTAACTTCGATGCTCATTACGCCATTTCCTTAATGTGTCCTATTTTTGTTAAATCTATGACTTCCTGAAATTCACACGTATAACGCTGTTTTATTTTTAAATTATCAGGATCGTTACGTTTTTAAATCATCAGGATACGGTGATATTTTTTTTATGTGGTTAACGATAACTTCGATTTAACCACAACAAGATATGTAACCAAAGTAGATATTAAAATTATTATTGCTACGCTAATCGGTACACTAATTGTCGACACGAAAATGTTTTCTTTATTAGCAAATTGGAAATACTTTTAGAAAAATGCGCCAATAAAATGTCGCACTGACGTAAAACGTACGGACGAACTTAGAGGGAAGAAACCACACCGGTCGTAGCGTCCCCAGGTTCGTCATTCTATTTTGTGAATCTTTTGTGGTTTATTCTAACAATATTTTTTTTTTGCATCTTTTCGCTCACGATTATGCACGATTCGATCATAAACATGTCTCAAGAAACGGCACAAGCCGCTGAAGGTAAGCGAAGAAAAAGGCTGTTGCCTCGGTGGGAATCGAATCCCACGCCTCCCGCTTTCCGGGCAGGTATCCTGACCACTAGACATCGAGGCCACTTATCTGTCTCCGTTTATCGACATGTTATTGTGCCGCCACACCGCATTTATAATATTCCTGAAAGCAATGTCACATTTCTTCTCAAGATCCCTCAGTGAACGAGACGAGCTTTTCTTAGACGTCAAACACCAAATTTTACAAACATCACTATGTCAAATATGAAATATGAGACATGTCAAAAACAATCGTAAAGTACGCGTTTTTTTTTTGTTAAAAATCCACTATCAACCGTTCACGATTGTTTCAAAATCGCGCAATCTATGAAAATCTGACAGTTTAGTTGGTACTATTGTGATTTGTCATAATAAATGTAAATATTTTAGGTAATAACTGATGAGTGATGACAACCGAATACTTAAAAAGGAATGTTATATGACAGGACTTGACGCTAACTTAACCAAATATATCTTGGCCTACTGTGTATTTAAAACAATCGTGAACCGCATATACCTGTTGCTTTGTGTTGGTAACACAAGACTTCCCCTATATTATCCATTCACGCTCTTTATATAGTAAAGTAGGCTTTGATATTTTTTCTTTAAGTTGGATAAACCGATTTGATGATTTAGTTTTTTGTCTGTCAGTAGTCTTATTGACATTTGCTTTGAGCTGGATTGCCACTTTTCTACTTCATTTATTAGATCAGAATTATTGGAAGCAATTTTTTAATCAAGCAAACAAATGTTTTAATTTTGTCAGCATAGATAATTTGTCATCGTGACAGATTCACAGATCTTTGCGACATTATTTAAAAAGAAAATGCCTAAAATAGTTTTACTGCAACAAAAAATTGCAATAAAAAGATGTTTTTTGTAGTTTCGAAAAGACAGGCCCGAACTTTCTTTCTAAGAAGTAACTATGAGGGTCTCGAACATATTTTCTGTAATGTAAAAATACGCTGTAAAATATTTTTTAATTTTTTTCTCACATTAGATTTCAAAGCATTTGGTTTTGTAGTTCCTGATTAAATCAATAATAAATATTATACGCCAAGTGAATCAAACATACGTTTATTCACGAGAAGATGTTGATATCACGAGCACGCAGTGCGAGTGAGATCATTTCTTCGAGTGAATAAATATGTTTGATTCACGCGGTGTATATATGTTTTTATTCCATTTTGACGAATTTTATTAATAAAATTTCAATAAATAAAAATTCGAATCGAGAAATCGTGTAAACTGCGAAACTAATTTTCGTGACAACCAGCTTAACAACCAGTTGTTTACATTTTTCTAAATTTGTGACACTGGCGGCATTTGTGTTTTCCTAGACAAAAATGTCTGGAATTTTGGAAGATAAAGACGAAAACGAAGTGTTTGTACCCTCAGCAGTCCTAGACGAAGCTTTGGAAGCTATCAATAAGGTGGTGCCAGCAAAATCCAAGCATTCATATGAAAAAGAGTATACGAATTTTTGTGAATGGAGGAAGCGAAAGCATGCAAAAGGAGTAGATGAAAGAATAATTTTGGCTTATATTTCGGAACGGTCAAAAAATGCTAAATCTTCATCACTATGGTCGTATTATTCCCAACTGAAGAAGATGTTATCTGTGAAGGAAAATATTGATATAAGCAGGTTTGTGACATCGCAATGATTAATATAAGGTTTAAAATATTCATTATTATAGATTTCATCAAGTGTCAGCTTTCCTAAAACAACAGTCTGTAGGGCACAGACCAAAGAAATCCAACGTGTTCACGCCCGAAGAAATGGAAAGGTTTTTAGATAATGCTTCTGATGATGAATATTTACTGCAAAAAGTAATTTTTGTCGTGGGAGTTGTTAGAGGATGTAGAATGGGTGATGTCGATTATAATTTCAGATCGCAATGAAGTTCAATTAGAAAGAGAGGTTAATATTTTAATGACGAATCTCCAATCCTGGTTTTCCACCAACAACATTTATATAAACTCTGAAAAAACACAAGTTATAAGATTTCGTAATCGCCAAAACACCTGTAAGTATATAGATCTCAAATGTTCAAATCTACAGCATAACACTGTCGACACCATAAAATTTCTAGGTCTTATGGTAGATACAAACCTCAACTTTAAGTCACATGCCAAAATACTGGTTCCAAAATTAAACTCACTGTGTTATCTTCTAAGAAATTTAAAGATAATTTTAAATATTGATCAATTGGTTAATATATACCATGCTCATGTGGAATCCAGAATTAGGTATGGTATTTGTTTATGGGGTGGGTCACCAAGCGCAGCCAATGTGTTTATTAGTCAAAAACGTGCCATCAGAACAATTGCCGGTGCAAGTAAACATACAAGCTGCAAAAGCCTTTTTAAAAAATTAAATATATTGACTCTTCCGTCATTATACATATTTGAAATGAGTGTTCACATTTATAAAAACCGACATAATCTAACGTATGTCCATAACGTACATAAAGTAAATACCCGACAAAAACATCAGATTCATGTTCCGTTTAAACGTTGTAATGTTGGTGTGTTAGCAACTGATTGTATGGGAGTTAGAATTTTCAATTACTTGCCAGTGAATATTCAAAATTGTCAGTTAATATCATCATTTAGGAAAAATTTAAAAGTATTTTTAACAGATAAATGTTATTATTCCCTAGGTGAATTTTTTCAAGGTTGATGGCATGTTGACAATATCATTTTGTCTTTTTGTTATTTTGCTTGTTAAATGTTTAGTTTTTAATTTTTAGTTTTAGTGTTTCTTTGTTTGTATTTTTTTCTTTTTGACTTGTCTTATATACTGTTATACATATATGTATCTGTGGAGACCAAATATATATATTATTATTATTATATTATAATTGGTGGCCATGTCAGTTGATGATGTTGAAGACAGGGGTAGCGTACTTGTAGTCCAAATTCCAGACACGAAGACATTATTTTGCCCATTCATCGGAAATTTGATATAAATTTGAATAATTGTAACTTTTATATTTCACACTACAATGACAAAGACTAATTCAATGTTAATATTTTTGGAGAAGAAATAAAAATCTGTTCTTAATTGAAATTTTTTAATTCACTGAACGCTTTGATTCTACTAGTGAATTCAAACGCTTTGATTTCACTAGTGAATCATGAACTCCTTATGAAGGTTACTATGGAGTTAATAAAGTCAGTTTAAATTGTCAAAATGGAATAAAATAAATTTGCGCATTCATTAAATTTTTTGAGTCACCCTGTATATCCGAATCCAAAAAATATGAATGGAATGATAAATTACAAGAAGAGACTCATCATATTTTGCAAATTTTAAATTGGATTATACGGCAAACTTTTGAGCCGACGTCATCAATTTTTTGGAGGGGATAAGCAAATATATTTGGACTAAAAATTTATTATGCTCTTTATAACCTTAAAACATTTGCAAGATTTCAAAGCATTGGGTTCTGTAGTTCCTGATTAAATCAATAAATTTACGCATTCATTAATTTTTGGGGTCATCCTGTATATGCAAATCCAAAAAACATGAATGGAATGATAAATCACAAGAAGAGACTCATCATATTTTATACAATTTAGATAGGATTTATTCAGCAAAATTTTGAGGTGACGTCATCAATTTTTTAGAGGGTTAAGTAAATATATTGTGATTAAAACGGTCCTGGTTTAATAACAAAAAAATATGGTTCGTCTATAAAACAAGCTCGTGTTAGACAAAGTATTCGTAAAAAAATATGTCGTTAAAAAATTTACGTATGCTGGTCCCGACTGCGATTATAGTTTAAATATTTTTAGAAAATCCTGTCATGGATGTAGAAACATTTGTGACAGCCAAAGAGGTTTTTTTGAGAAAATTATCTTTGAATTTAGACCAAATTTAAATAGACACTAGGCAACAGGCACATTTGGGCAAAAGAAAGAGAAATTAGGGTTAGGGCTTCAAATTTTGGACGTATTTACAAACTTAGACCAACTACAGCAATAGCTAAAACTGTGGAGTCTCTGTTGTACAGTACATTTAGAGGTAACAGTTATACATACTATGGACAGCAAAGTGAGGAAAAAGCTGTCAAGTGTTTTGGAATAAAAATAAAAATATAAAAACTGAACTGTGTGGCTTGTTTATTTCAAAACAATTTCCTTACTTGGCTGCTAGTCCAGACAGGGTTCTAGAAGATAGGAGTGCATTAGTCGAAATTAAATGCCCTTCAAAATCGCAAGATTTGTCTCCGGAAGAAGCGGTTAGAAAAAAGATAATCAAATTTTGTACATTGACAGACAGAGAATTGAAACTAAAAAAAAATCATGATTACTACTTTCAAGTCCAGGGACAAATGCTTGTTACGGGTATTTCACAAGTTTATTTTGTTGTATGGACACCCAATGGAATAAATATAGAAAAAAATTATAAAGACGAAGAAATATATGTAAAAAGATGGCAGATAAACTTGGCAGATTTTGCTTTGGCGCATTATTGCCCGAGATAATTGATTCAAGAAGAAAGAGGAACCTGCCTTTGCTAGAGATTTTTTTTTAAATAAATAAAATTTGTTTCTATTTTTCTATGTACTTTAATAATTTATTAGGAGTACATTTTTCATCACCAAGACTTGCGTATTTTTATTATAAACATATTTTGAAAATGATCTCTCGGCAAATGAAAACATATACGAGCACTTTTTCGAGTAAACAATGAAGGGAGAAGTTACTGGGCGTAGGGCTTTTTTAAAACACCTCCTTTCTGGAATAAGTAGTACACTTAGCTACTTATACGTGTTAAACAAAAGCTGTATTTTATATATTTTTTATTATTATTATAAATATGTTTATTAGTTTTATTAATTAAGAAAGCAAAATATAGATTAACAATAATATTACAATGAATTTTTAGTAATCATGTGTATTGAATTCAGGATCCTGAGTGGAGTAAAAATATTATAGTTCCCCAGTTTTAATTCGGTTTTATGATAGTACCTCATTGCGTAAAAGTTAATTTTCTTAACAATAGATTACTACGGCCGGTCCTGGCACCTTGTTATAAAGCTGAGTTCCTTGCCATAAATTAGAAAAATCAGCCGAGAACTCTAACAATCAGCTTATGGTAGAGCAGGCAATAAGGGTTTTACCTGAAAGTCGCTTCCGTAAATTTTAGTGGCGCTCCTATCGGCAAAGTACTGAACTAACTGCTCAAATTCTGTCGAATTGATACCCATTTTTTTCAATAACTGTTAGTTTTGGTTAAAAACTCTGCTAACCAATAGATCATTAATTTTCCTCTGATATTCCTGTTAAAATTATTCGACGTATTTTGCCTTAATTTGTGGTATATTTTGATTTTAATAAACACATTATTATTTGAACAAATTGTACCACTAACAAACATTTAATGATTCTGCGCCCTGTAAAAAGTGATGTTTTATCCATGTGCGAATTTTCAAGCGATTTTATGATGGTTATGACTCAAAAAACTTGAAAAGAAAACATAAAATGGTGCTTTTTTACGATATTTCTCAGCCATATTTTTTTAGTTGATTGAACTGGTCTCTGCGCCCTAGAATATGAAAAAAGCTGCAGTTTGATGTATGACACATCTATATTAATATCATTTTTTCATACAAAAAACCAAAAAAATGTTATACCTCGTCTAGCGAGTCCCCTTAACTTGGTCATTGCTACTGAAAACTGAAAGTATCGGCAGCAATGTTTATATTTCTGGCATATTTTTTAACCTTTAATTCAATAAAACATAACCTAACGAAAAAAGTTCAGGGAATTTTTATTCTTCTGCATCGAATACCAACAAGCTCACTAGATTTTCATGGCCAACCCTACTATATAAAGATCGTGAACGGATAATAAAGGGAATGTTTTCCATCTAGTAAACAAAACAAAACAAAGCAAAACAAAAAACTAAGTAACCGAGTTTTTACTAACACGAACGATATCACGAACACTACAGTAAAACAAATACTTACTTTGTGCGATAGTGTTCTTTTTCTTCCCCGACTTGTTCTTGTTAGAATAAATCATGGCACGTACTATTGAATTCGTCGGCGAAATCTTGCTATCACTCATGCTCTTCTGGACCTCAAAACTCGGCGAACTTTTATACCCAACCCCATCATTCTCCCCCGAAAAATCCTTCCCTTTCGGAGTCGACACCGTCTTCGGCTCAAAATATTTACTCGGCATCTTATTACCATCACTATTCACTTTATGCAAAGCCGGAGATTCCGGCGGCTTGAGTGTTATAGTTGTCGTTGACAATTCAACAGTATGCACAGTGGGCGGTCTCGTTTCGGGAAATTCGAACACTGTGCTCTTGGTTACTAAAATCGACTCGGATTTTAATTTTTCTGCTATGTTTGGCTTGGGCGAGTCGCTGGGATAAGCTGGTTTGTTCAAGTCGACTACTCCGAAAGTTCTTGGTGGAGGTTTTGGGGGAAGATCCAAGTCGACGTTTTCTTTGATTTCGGGAGGCTTTTCGATTGCGTGTGTCGTAACTGTACATTTGACTTCTTCGAGGACTGGCACGTTTTGGTTCAATGGCAAGTTTATGGCTTCTATGATGGGGATTCCGAGCTCGAATTTGGTTTCGGAGAAGGGTTCGATCGTGGGTTTGTTTTCAGGAATGAAAGCGTTACCATCGTCTGAAAATAACAACAAGTTGAATGTAAACTACTGTTCAATAGGTTAAAAATACTTGATGGAATCTTAGAGATTGTAGAACAAATTTGAATGAACATATTGGACACAGATATTTTTTTAGGCAAGTCTTTATGTTAGTTTATATTTCTCGTGATCCCAGATATTTTTAATAAGCAAGAGCAGTAAAACCAAATAAAGAAATATATTTTAATATCTAAATTAAAAATGGCTTATCTCATTTTTCTAAAATTTTGAGAACTGTTGTTATTAGTGTTACATTGTGAGTATCAGATATATGTATTTTTGTAACTACTAAAAAACTGATGACGTCATAAAAAAATATAAAAAAATCTCCCTTGATACTGTATACTCTTTTACTTGCAGTTCAATAATCCAGATCCGATTTTATTTTATACATATGTCGTCGGTCCTGATTTTTATCAGACAGATAATCTCCAAAACTACCGGATCGACTTATTATATACAGATAATTTTCAAATTAATATATCGACAATTATTTTGTCCTACGCCTTCAAGATTACTGTTGGCACCAAAAGAAGACATAAGCCGTGAAATGTGCTCTTTTGGCAATACATATTTTTTTAAAATTAATAATTTAATATTTGCAATTAAATTTAGTATTTAATTATTATTTTCATGTAGAAGAAATTTAATTTTCAAATTTCAATTCTTCACTACATTAACAAAAGCTAAAAAAAATCTCAAATTTGCTAAGAAAAATATTTTAGCATGAAGTATCTAGATTTGTTTACGCAAATAACTGTGTTAATAATTTCACCAAATTTAAAACAATTTGGGGAGACTTTTGTTCTATTTTTGGAAAATTCTGACCTGATCTGTTTTTGAGTTAATTTTGGGGCCCAGTTTTTTTTGAAAAATTTAAAACAATCTTGAAATTCTAGGTGTTCCTGTTTGGAAAGAATCTGAAAATGCTTAGGAGCCTCTAGTGTCTTTTCTTATAATAATTTAATTAAATTTCTTACAGGATATGTGATTTGCTAAAATCGGTCTTATTTTAACAGCTACTCAAAAATTAAATTAATTTTTATCACAAGCTTTCGTCAAAATATGACAAAATACATCAATGAATTCAGAAAAAAAAACTGCAGTAAAAAAATCTGTAAAAATGTACAGGGTGGCATTAAAAAAAAGTTGAATGTGGTAGACAAAAACAAATGAACGTCAAATATTAATTAATTAATCAAATCGTAGCATGTTTCAAACGATTTTATTTAACGTCACACAATGCTGTACTCTAAAAAACAGAAGAGCTACAGACCTGATTTTTTCGAACAAAAACAAAATTATTTAAAAAAATATGAATATCTAAAAATGTGACAGAAGACAGAGGGAAACGGGAAACCTGATTTTTCGTACTCTTGGGGTCATGAAACGTCGAGAAAACATGAAAGAGGCAAGTCGCCCGATGGACGGAATGGACGAAAAGGACGAAAAATACGAAAAGGGCGAAAAGGATTAAAAGGACCAAAAGAATGAAAAGGACCAAAAGGACGAACATGACGAAAAGGACGAAAAGAATGCAAAGGAAAAGAAGGACGAAAATAACGAAAAGGACCAAGAAGGACCAAAAGGACGAAAATAACGAAAAGGATTAAAAGGACGAAAAAGATTGAAATGCCGAAAGGGATTAAAAGGACGAAAAGGATTAAATGGAGCAAAAGGACGAAAAGGACGAAGAGGACCAAAAGGACGAAAAGGACCAAAAGGACGAAAAGGACGAAAAGTACGAAGAGGACGAAAAATACGAAAAGGACGAAAACAACTTAAAGGACGAAATGGACGAAAAATACGAAAAGGACGAAAAAGACTGAAAGGACGAAAAGGACTAAAAGGACTAAAAGGACGAAAGGGACGAAAAATACGAAAAGGATTAAAAGGACGAAAATAACGCAACGGACGAAAAGGACCAAAAGGACGAAAATGACAAAAAGGACGAAAAATACGAAAAGGACGAAAAATACGAAAAGGACGGAAAATACGAAAAGGACGAAAAGGATTATAAGAACGAAAAGGACTAAAAGTACTAAAAGGACGAAAGGACGAAAAGGACGAAAAATACGAAAACGATTAAAAGGACGAAAAGGACTAAGAGGAGTAAACGGATTAAATGAACGAAAAGGACTAAAAGGACGAAAAATACGAAAAAGATTAAAAGTACTAAAAGGACGAAAAAAACGAAAGGGACGAAAAATACGAAAAGGATTAAAAGGACGAAAAGGACTAAGGGGATTAAAATGATTAAAAGGACTATAAGGACCAAAAAGACGAAAAGGACCAAAAGGACGAAAAGGACCAAAAATACGAAAAGGACTGAAAGGACTAAAAGGATGAAAAGGACGAAAAATACGAAAAGGATTTTTTGGTTTTCTGATTTCTCGATTTTAGAATTTTTCGATTTTTCTATTTTTAAATTTTTAACGTTTCTAAATTTTCGATTTTTCATTTTTTTTATTTTCTCTTTTCTCGATTTTTCAGTTTTTCCATTCTTGGGTTTTCGATATTTCTGTTTTGAGATTTTCTAAGTTTTAGAGTGTTCGATTTTAAATTTTCAATTTTTTGACGTTTCCATTTCTCGATTTTTAAATTTTTCGTTTTTTTTATTTTTCCATTTCTCGTTTTTTCGAGTTTTCAGTTCCTGGATTTTTTTATTTAACAATTTTTAAAATTTTTAAATTATAGATTTTTCAATTTGTTTTCGACATTTCGAACAATCGATTTTTGTTTTTTTTTATTTTATATTTCTCGATTTCCGTCTGCTCGAGTTTTCTATTTCCCTTCTTCTTTCCATGTTTCGAGTTAGGAATGTTTCAATTTTTTTATCGATTTTTCGAAATTATAATTTTGCTATTTCGATTTTTCAAATTTTCGATTTTCCAATTTTTGACATTTTATTTTTGGGATTTCTCAATTTCCCGATTTTTTAATTTTTCGATTTATGGATTTATCAATTTTTCGATATTTCAGTTTTGGAATTTTTCAATTTTTCGATTTTTCAAATTTTAAGACTTTCAAATTTTTGATATTTGGATTTCTTGATTTCTCAATTTTTCGATACATATTTTAATTTTTCGATTTATCGCTTTTTCGATTTTTCTGTTTCACAATTTTTGCAATTTTTAAATTCTAGATTTTTCAATTTGTTTTCCATTTAGACTTGTGGATTTTAGATTTTTCTGTTTTTAAAATTTTTGATTTTCCAATTTTTCAATTTCTCGAGTTTTCGACGTTTTGACGACTCGATTTTTCGATTTTTTTAATTTAAAATTTTTCTGTTTTTCGATATTTCCTTTTTCGATTTTAGGCCATTTCGATTTCTGGATGTTTAAAATTTTTTATGGATTTTTCGAAATTATATTTCTATTTCGATTTTTTAAATTTTCGAATTTTCAAATTTTCGATTTTCCAATCTTTTGAGATTTCATTTTTGGGATTTTTAATTTCCCGATATTTTAATTTTTCGATTTATCGATTTATCAATTTTTCGATATTTCAGTTTTGAAATTTTTTAATTTTTCGATTTTTTAAATTTTTATAATTTTCAATTTTAAGACTTTCAATCTTTTGATGTTTCGATTTCTTGATTTTTCAATTTTTCGATATTCTAATTTTTCGATTTTTCAGTTCTTGGATTTTTCTGTTTCACAATTTTTGGAATTTTAGATTTTTCAATTTGCTTTCCATTTTTAAACTTTTCGATTTTAGATTTTTCGATTTTTTAAATTTTTGATTTTCCAATTTTTCGATTTCTCGAGATTTCGAGGTTTTGAAGACTCGATTTTTCGATTTTTTTAATTTAAAATTTTTCTGTTTCTCGATATTTCATTTTTCGATTTTAGACCATTTCGATTTCTGGATGTTTAAATTTCTTTATGGATTTTTCGAAATTATAATATTTCTATTTCGATTTTTTAAATTTTCGAATTTTCAAATTTTCGATTTTCCAATCTTTTGAGATTTCATTTTTTGGATTTTTAATTTCCCGATATTTTAATTTTTCGATTTATCGATTTATCAATTTTTGGATATTACAGTTTTGAAATTTTTTAATTTTTCGATTTTTTAAATTTTTATAATTTTCAATTTTAAGACTTTCAATTTTTTGATGTTTCGATTTCTTGGTTTTTCAATTTTTCGATATTCTAATTTTTCGATTTTTCAGTTCTTGAATTTTTGTTTCACAATTTTTCGAATTTTAGATTTTTCAATTTGTTTTCCATTTTTAAACTTTTCGATTTTAGATTTTTCGATTTATAAAATTTTTGATTTTCTAATTTTTCGATTTCTCGAGATTTCGAGGTTTTGACGTCTCGATTTTTCGATTTTTTTAATTTAAAATTTTTCTGTTATTCGATATTTCATTTATCGATTTTGGGTTATTTTGATTTCTCGATTTTTCATCTTCTTGATTTTCCTATTTCTCGATCTTTTCATGTCTCGATTTCCGGATATTTCAATTTTTATTTTTTTTTATTTTTCGATTTTCTAATTTTGCAATGTTTCGATTATTCAAATTTTCGATTTCCCAATTTCTTGACATTTCAATTTTGTTTTCCATTTTTAAACTTTTCGATTTTAGATTTTTCGATTTTTAAAATTTTTGATTTTCCAATTTTTCGATTTCTCGAGATTTCGAGGTTTTGACGTCTCGATTTTTCGATTTTTTTAATTTAAAATTGTTCTGTTATTCGATATTTCATTTATCGATTTTGGGTTATTTTGATTTCTCGATTTTTCATCTTCTTGATTTTCCTATTTCTCGATCTTTTCATGTCTCGATTTCCGGATATTTCAATTTTTATTTTTTTTTTATTTTTCGATTTTCTAATTTTGAAATGTTTCGATTATTCAAATTTTCGATTTCCCAATTTCTTGACATTTCAATTTTGAGAATTTTCAACTTTTTGAAATTCTAATTTTTCGATTTCTCGCTTTTTCGATTTTTCAATTTGTTTTCCATTTTTGGACTTCTCGATTTTAGATTTTTCGATTTTTAAAATTTTTGATTTTCCAATTTTTCTATTTCTCGAGATTTCGACGTTTTGATGACCCGATTTTTCGATTTTTTTAATTTAAAATTTTTCAGTTTTTCGATATTTCATTTTTCGATTTTGGGTTATTTTGATTTTTCAATTTTTCGATATTCTAATTTTTCGAGTTCTCGGTTTTTCGATTTTTCAATTTGTTTTCCATTTTTAGACTTCTCGATTTTAGATTTTTCGATTTTTAAAATTTTTGATTTTCCAATTTTTCGATTTTTCGAGATTTCGACGTTTTGATCACTCGACTTTTCAATTTTTTTTATTTTAAATTTTCGATATTTCATTTTTCGATTTTGGGATATTTTGATTTCTCGATTTTTCATCTTCTTGATTTTCCTATTTCTCGATCTTTTCATGTCTCGATTTCCGGATATTTCAATTTTTATTTTTTTTTTATTTTTCGATTTTCTAATTTTTCAATGTTTCGATTATGCAAATTTTCGATTTCCCAATTTCTTGACATTTCAAATTTGAGATTTTTTAATTTCGAGAATTTTCAACTTTTTGAAATTCTAATTTTTCGATTTCTCGCTTTTTCGATTTTTCAATTTGTTTTCCATTTTTGGACTTCTCGATTTTAGATTTTTCGATTTTTAAAATTTTTGATTCTCCAATTTTTCTATTTCTCGATATTTCGACGTTTTGATGACCCGATTTTTCGATTTTTTTAATTTAAAATTTTTCAGTTTTTCGATATTTCATTTTTCGATTTTGGGTTATTTTGATTTTTCGATTTTTCATCTTCTTGATTTTCCTATTTCTCGATTTTTCATGTCTCGATTTCCGAATATTTCAAGTTTTATTTTTTTTTATTTTTCAATTTTCTAATTTTTCAATGTTTCGATTGTTCAAATTTTCGATTTCCCAATTTCTTGACATTTCAATTTTGAGATTTTTCAATTTCGAGAATTTTCAATTTTTCGATATTCTAATTTTTCGATTTCTGGCTTTTTCGATTTTTCAATTTGTTTTCCATTTTTAGACTTCTCGATTTTAGATTTTTCGATTTTTAAAATTTTTGATTTTCCAATTTTTCGATTTTTCGAGATTTCGACGTTTTGAGCACTCGACTTTTCGATTTTTTTTTTATTTTAAATTTTTGATATTTCATTTTTCGACTTTGGGCTATTTCGATTTCTTGATTTTTGGTCTTCTCGAGTTTTCTATTTCTCGATGTTTTCCTGTTTCGATTTGCGGATGTTTCAATTTTTCATTGTTTTTTTTCAATTTTTCATTGTTTCGATTGTTCAAATTGTCGATTTCCCAAAATCCTAGGATTTTTCAATTTCCCGATTTTTTCATTTTTCGATTCTTCAATTTTTAGATTTTTTGAATTTTACATTTTTCGACTTTTTGATGTTTCCATTTCTAGATTTTCAAATTGTTTAATATTTAAACTTTTCGATTTTTCGAATTTTCGATATGTGGGTTTTTAGATTTTTAAAATTTTTCGACTTCTTGATTTTTCAAGATTTCGATTTCTGGATTTTTGATGTTTCATATTGTCGTAGTGTTATTTACGCCACTGGTTTTTAGTTTATAGCCGTTATCACAAAAAAAAAACGCAGAATCGAATTTTATAATTTTTAAAGAAGCGGGATTTGTTCGACCAATTTTTATATATTCGTCACTCCAAATTAGATGGATCTGAAAATTTGCTCGTAGGACTTGCCAAATTTTGGATATTCTACACGATATCCCTAACATAAATGTAAAATTTGACAACAATCGGTTTGGTAGTTTCGAAGATTATTCGTCTAATAAAAATCGACAGAGACAGACGACACACAGATGGTAACGGGAAACCTATTTTTTCGTACTATAAGGATCATGAAACGCAGAGAAAACATAAAAGTAGCAGTCGCCCGATGGACTTGATTACAATATTTAGCTTACGCTCGGGAAGTAAAAGATCATAAAAAACAATTAATTAACTGGGAAAATATTTCGTCACTTAAACGGACACAAACGTTAATTTTTAGTCATTTCATTCCGAGGTTTCGACTTGTGCCATTTTTAAATCGTCAAAATTCGCGAGTTTATTCGAGTGCCTGTTGGATAACCTCGATCAACAAAAATAGCACTTCCCATCTAAATATAATACTGAGTCATTTTTAACAAAAAAATCAATCTGGTTTTGGTTTAAAATATTATCTCAAAAAGTTCTCGTTTCTAATTCAAAATTTGCTGCAATCACGCCAAGAAATTTTGGTCCTTGTCCACTTTAGTCTAGCCGAGTGACCATGGAATTATAAAAACCCGCGGAGAGGAGGTGAAGAAGTCTAATAGCCTTATGGCCAAAATACACGTAGTGATAATGGTTTGTCAAAAAATTTCAAATATTTCCGTCAATAAAGAAGTTAAAACAAAGTCCTGAAGTAAAATTGACGAGCACAATACGCGAAATCACACCAGAATAGAAAAAAAATCTTACCTGTGACTTCCAGTTGAGTCTTCTCTACCGCAAACTTCTCCACAGGTGAGCCTTCCTCCCCCGTCAGATCATACGCAGGCGTGCTATGACTCTTATCCAACCTCCCTCTAATCTTCGTGGAAATACTCCTAGGTGGAACCACCGGTCTCTTACTAGAATCAGGCTTCTGCGGCACGTCGGGCGGCTTCTTAATCTGCGACCTCGGGTAAATCTTGGGCTTAACCACCACTTCCAGCTTCTGCTCGTCGAACTTCCTAATAATATCGTGAATCTTAACCTCGGCAAGAACGACATCCCTCACCCTATCGTGGGCATTCTGAAAATGGTCGCACTCCCTTTTAACATCGTCGCTGTCAGTCACCATGCTCGTTCTATCAGTCAATTCGCGACCCTCGTCTATAAACGCGATGTTCTCATTAGTCAAACTAGCCAAACTATTAACGCTGACGCTCTTCTCGTCGTTCAAATTACTCAACAGGATAATTTCCTTCTTCTCGTTATCTTCGTGCTTCCTCTCCTGGAAGTTGACCTTCTTCTTCGCGGATTTTTCTTTGAAGTCGTTCTTGAAGGAGTTCTTGGTACGGTTGGGACTGAGGCCGATGACTGTCGTCGGTCGGGGGCTCAGCTCCAGCCCCAGGTTGCAGGAGGCGCTTTTGTCGCGGAGGAAATTCGCGTCCGAGTCGAAGTCGGTGTTGTCAATGTTGTACGAACTGGAATGGGTCGAAACTGCGCGGTCTTTCCATATTTGCCAGTACTGGAAGAAAACAAAGGCTCACGTCGGGCTTTCGTCGGAATTGTTACTAGCATGTTGTTAACGCAGAATTGAGCGAGTGGTTATCGCGGGAGGATGTAAAGAAGTCTGGTACTTTTAGAACATTGATACGGTTGCGTGAAATTGTGATAAGGAGAGATGAATCAGCGTTCGGAGAATTTTGGTTTGTTTTAGGATGAGGAACACTTTGGAGATGCCGACGGGATTTATTTTTAAATAACATGACGAAAGCCTAGGGCAAAGTACTTAGATAGTTCAGATGGAATATTACATAGGTATCCCAAAGGTTTGATTGGTAATGGTTTTTTTTACATATTTAGGTTCTCTATAAAAAGGAAAAAAACATATTCGACGTAAGGTTTTTTATGGAAAGTTTTACATTTTTCGTCAAAATATCGTCACATTTGAAATGATTTTCGAACATTACATATTTTGATAAAACTCAAATTTAAGTCTAAAATTTTAAAAATTAAAAAATCTAAAATTTAAAAATCGAAAAAGTAAAAAAATCGACACATCGAAAAATCCAGGAGTCAAAAATCGAAAAGTCGAAGAATCGAAATATTGAAAAATCCCAAAACTGAAACATCGAAAAACAGAAAATCGAAAAAATGTAAAATTTAAAAATCGAATAACGAAAAATCGAGAAATCGAAACTCCTAAATTTAAAAAATCGGATAACTGAAAAATCGAAACATCGAAAAACTGGAAAATCGAAAAACTGAGAAATCGAAAAATCAAAAGATTAAGAAAAGTCCAACAATTGAGAAACCGAAATAGGTCAAAATCGAAAAATCGAAAAGTCAAAAATTGAACAATATATAAATTGAGACATTGACAATCAAAATATCGAAAAATCCAAATCTCGATAAATCGAGAAATTAAAAAGCTTAAAAATTCGAAAAATTGAAAAATTGAGAGATTGAAAGATCCAAAGAACGAGAAATCGAAAAGTGATCAAGTCGAAAAATCGAAAAATAGAGAAATCGACAAACAAAAAGTTAAAAGTTGAAAAATTGGAAAAGCGGAAAAATCAAAAACGCGAAAAAATGGAAAACTGGAAAAACTGTGAAACCGAAAAATTAACAAATCGAAACATTGAAAAAGAGTACATCTAAAACCAGGATGTCGAAAAATAGATAGATTAAGAAATATTGAAAAATTAAAATATCAAAAGATTGAAAAATCTAAAATTTAAAAATCCAAAAATTGAAAAATCGAAAAAGTAAAAAGGTAGATGAAAAACCCAAAAGTCAAAAATAGAAAAGCCGAAGAATTGAAATATTTTGAAAAATCCCAAAACTGAAATATCGAAAAACAGAAAATCGAAAAAATGTAAAATTTAAAAATCGAATGACGAAAAATCGAGAAATCGAAACTCCTAAATTAAAAAAATCGGATAACTGAAAAATCGAAACATCGAAAAACTGGAAAATCGAAAAACTGAGAAATCGAAAAATCAAAAGATCAAGAACTCGTGGAGTCGAAAAGTCGAACAATTGAGAAACCGAAATAGCTCAGAATCGAAAAATCGAAAAGTTAAAAATTGAACAATATATAAATTGGGACATTGACAATCAAAATATCGAAAAATCCAAATTTCGATAAATCGAGAAATTAAAAATCTAAAACCAGGAAGTCGAAAAATAGAAAGATTAAGAAATACTGGAAAATTAAAATATCATAAGATTGAAAAATCTAAAATTTAAAAATCCTAAAATTGAAAACGAAAAAGTAAAAAGGTAGACGAAAAACCCAAAAGTCAAAAATAGAAAAGCCGAAGAATTGAAATATTGAAAAATGCTAAAACTGAAATATCTAAAAACTGAAGAATCGAAAAATTTAAAGTGAAGTCAAAAAATAGAAACCTTAAAAAATCGAAAAATTGAAAAATCAAAAACCTGACAAATAAAAAAATTTAAGAATTGAAGAACAGGAAAATCGAAACACTCGAAGGTCAAGAAAAGGGAAAATCGAAACATCAATTAATGAAAAAGCGAAAAATTGAAAAAATGACAATTGAAAAACAGAAAATCTAAAACCGGGAAGTCGAAAAATCGATTGATTAAGAAATCAAAACATTTGAAAAATTCGAAAACTTGAAAAACTGAAATATCGAAGAACTGAAATGAAAAATCGAGAAATCGAAAAATCTAATATTTTAAATATTGAAAAATTAAAATATCAAAAAACTGAAAAATCTAAAATTTAAAAATCGAAAAATTGAAAAAACGACAATTGAAAAACAGAAAATCTAAAACCGGGAAGTCGAAAAATCGAAAGATTAAGAAATCTAAACATTTGAAAAATTGAAATATGGAAGAAATGAATTGAAAAATCGAGAAATCGAAAAAACTAAAATTTTAAATATTGAAAAATTAAAATACCAAAAAATTGAGAAATCTAAAATATAAAAAAACTAAAAAGTAAAGAGTCGACACATCGAAAAATCCAGAAGTCAAAAATGGAAAAGTCGAAGAACTGAAATATTGAAAATTGCCAAAACTGAAATATCGAAAAACTGAAAAATACAATAAAAACTGACGAATCGAAAAACTGAAATATCCAAAAACTGAGAATCTAAAGAATCGAAAAATTGAGAAATCGAAAAATCAAAAAAGTGAAGTCGAAATATCGAAACCTTAAAAAAATCGACACATTGAGAAATCGAAAACCTGCAAAATCGTAAGATCGAAAAATTTAATAATAAGTAAACTGAAAAATACCAAAACTGAAATGTCCGAAAACTGAGAAATTAAAAAACTGAAAAATTGAGAAATCGAAAAATCAAAAAAGTGAAGTTGAAAAATCGAAACCTGAAAAAATTGAAAAATCGAAAAACTAAAAAACCTGAAAAATCAATTAATTGAAAAATCGACAAATAAAGAGTTTATAAAAGTCAAAAATTGAAAAATCGAAATATTTAAAATTCGTAAAATTGAAGAGAAAAACTGAAAAATTGAGAAATTGTAAAATCCAAAAATTGAAAAATAAATAGGAGTAATCTGATAAGTCCCCAAACTAAAATTTCGAAAAACTGAGAATTCTAAAGTTGAAACAGCAGAAATTATGGTCGAAACCGGTTAGGATGTGTATCAGATCACGGATCGTGGCTTATAAATCAAATCGTTTCCGAACGCTTAGAGTCGACATTGGCCTGAGTGCGCTCTGGTCTGTAAATCAAACAAGTTCTAGACGACGAACTGTAATTCGTGTGACCTGAATTAAAGTGAAGGAAACAGTAAGCAGGTTGTAATATTCTGGTAAATTTAGTCTCAATTTGTCGGAAATAAACGCGTCGTTAAAAATATTATGACATTTATTCTAGTTACTTTTATCCCTAGTTATAAACAAACACTGCTACCAACATAAATTGAGGGGTCCGCAACCGATTTAAACTATGACGCTTCTCTGTGTTCTCGGCTAAAGCCACGATCTCTGGTAACAACCCAAAAATCCAGAAAATCCAAAGAATCTCAAGAATAAAAAACAATCCAAAAAAAAACCGAAAATCTAAAAAAATTTCAAAAGCCAGAAACTCAAGAAATTCAACAATCCAAAAAAATCAACAATATGAAAAAAATTCAAAAAACCCAAAAATCAAAAAAGTCCGAGAAACTCAAAAATTAAAAAAAAAAATGAAAGTATCTAAAAAATCCAAAAATCTGAAAATAAAAAACTAAAAATTATCCAAATTACCGAAAAAATTTAATAAATCCAAAAAACTTCCGAAAAAACAAAAAATTAAAAAAAAAATCAAGACTCCGAACAATAAAAAAAATAAAAAAAAAACGAACTCCAAAAAACCCAAAAACCTCAGAAATCCAACAACTCCAAAATCCAAAACATGGAATATATCCAAAAAAAATCCAAAACTCCAAAAATCCCAGGGAATAAATTAGACTTCTGGACTAAAAGCAACCAATAAAAGGATATGTAAACATGACTTTTTTTGTAAATGTCCAAAAATAAATCGTAAGACACAATTTTTTTAATTTCCCGGGTATTATTTGATACATAATACCCTTGATACATAAATAACTGTTTGCTATTCTACTATACAAAACACTCACATAAAGGTTCAACGATACAGTGCGATTTTAAAAAGCGAATAAATATTTTCGAACAATGATATTAAAATATTACACCCACAGATACATTGGAGTTTCTACACATTTTTAAAAAGAAAAACATTACACATTTTGACGACACTGTCACGAGAATTTCTAATTCGGGAAATATAAATCCACAAAACTTGTTGATTGTTATAAATAGAAATCTGCGGTTTAGATTTTTCGGTTATGGAATTACTAAATATTTATTTCGTAACAAAGATAACGCACAAAGACAATTATAGTAGTCTTCACCAACTAGTGCACAATCCATTTTGATATAAACATCACATTTTACTTGAAACGACTTGAAACCCAATCTGTTTGAAATCTCTAAAATGCAAAATAATGTGAGATTACTAAATCTACTAGAAACGTGCTGTCCTATATATTTTAAGATAAAGTAGAATATTTAGTATTAATAGTAGTTTTACGTTTTAATAAAAACCCACACCTAACGTTGTACCAGTATATCGTGGTCATAATCTTTTAAACAGGCAATAAACTAAAACCTAAGCTTTTTATTATAGCGGAATTCGAACGATTGAAGAAGTGAGACGTAGAAAATTGCGATGCTTAAAAATGTTCCATTTTAATTTCAGTACACTTGCACTCGGAAGTAAGTAGTTGAAACGAAAAGTCCTACTTTTCTTAGAAAAATGCAGCCTGGATATTTATCAGTTGGAAAATACAATTTATGAGTCGCTAAAACTGTGGTATCGTCTCAATTCATACGAAATTTTACTTTACAATGTGTAATGATGATAAAATAATTGTCATACCTTCTAGACTCGTCCTTTCCAAAAAATGATAACATCAAATCAAAATTTTCTCAACCAAATCTCACCTGAAATTTATAATTTTAATCTT